CTCATTGAATTTGAATGCATTGGGAATGGGGAGTTTAATTTAGAGTTATGTTGTAATTTTATGTCTGAAACCTTCCTTATTGATGATAGAATTTTTCTGCCACCATGTCTAAGTCCTGCCTATTAAAACATTAAGTTGGTATACAAGAAGATGAGTATAGGATTGAGTGAAGGTTTTCTTGTTAGTTATTTTTTTTTGGGGGGACCACACCTGGCAATACTTAGGGGCGATTCCTGACTCTGGGATTCCCCTGATGTGGTGTCGGGGATGGAACCTGGGACTCCAAGATATGAAATGTATACACCACTCCCTGCTGCATTTGGTTCTCTGCTGCATGTTTATCCTATATTTTCTCTTATCTGCTACAATAAGCATAATACTGAACACTGTAGAGAATCATGGGAGGGGGTTTGTGGGGACTTTTTTGTTGCTGTTGTTCTGCCTTTTAAAAAAAAGTTAAGTCTCATTTGTTGATGATTGGACACTAATATAGTTTATCTTGAATGCTTGACATGCATCTGGGATTTGCTTTAAAAATATCTTATGGGGGCTGAGGAGGTCCCTTGTACCATCCTTTGCCCCCTAGCACCAAGTTGGAATTGGCTCCTGAACAACCACTGGGTGTGGCCCCAAAATGCCAAGTTGGTAGGAGAGAATATTTGCCCAATGCCCATCTGATAAGGGGTTAATATCCAAAATATAGAAGGCACTGGTAGAACTTTATAAGAATAAAACATCCAACACCATCAAAAATGGAAAGAAAAAATGCACAGAAGCTTTCTCAGAGAAGAAATACAAATGGCCAAAAGAAAAATGCTCTATATTACTAATCAGTGAGATGCAAATCAAAACAACAATGAGATATTATCTCACACCACAGAAACTGGCATGTATCAAAAAGAACAAGAGCAACCAATGCTGGCATGGCTGTGGGGAGAAAGGGACTCTCCATTGTTATTTAGCTGAAGTAGCAGACCAAGACCAGAGGGAATGGGAATGCCCATTGGTCCAGCCTTTTTGGACAACAATATGGGCATCCCTCAAAAAACTAGTAATTGAACTTCCTTATGACCTAACAATACCACTTATGGGAATATACCCTGGAGGCCCCAAAACACATGGCAGAAATGCATGCAGCACTATACACTGTTGTACTGAGTCTGTAGCACTGACCTCGATTTGCTTGAGCGGGCACCAGTAACGTCTACATTGTGAGACTTGTTACTGTTTTTGGCATATCAAATATGCCATGGGGAGTTTGCCAGGCTCTGCCGTGTGGGCAGGATACTCTCAGTAGCATGCCAGGCTCTCTGAGAGGGATGGAGGAATCAAACCTGAGTTGGCCGCATGCAAGGCAAACACCCTACCCGCAGTGCTACCTCAACTGTAAAATGTGAATTAATGTTAATAACCATCTTTTAAGGTTATTATGAGAAAATATAAAACAAAGCTACTACTTGTAGGTCTGAAGAGAGATGCGAATAGCAATATGTGAGAAGTTAGGTTGCTTTAATACCCCTTTAGGAAGGTCTCCCAGGTAGTGTCAGTAAGGAAACTGGCCGTTCGGTAGCTCTGTAAACCTAGAACATGGATTAGGATTAGCCTAAATTATTCTCCGCCCCTCTCGGAGAGCCCGGCAAGCTACCGAGAGTATTCAATATGCCAGACACAGTAACAACAAAGTCTCCAATGGAGACGTTACTGGGCCCGCTCGAGCAAATCGACGATCAACGGGAGGGCCTTATGACACTTTAATAAAATCTTTTTATTGAAAAAAATAATGAAGAAGCTACCATGAAAATTTCTCTTGTCCCCTAGAAATTCGATAATTCATAGTACCAACAAGTTAGAACTTTGAAGAAATTACACTCAGGAAAGTGAACACGATTTAAAAATTTGAGGGACAAGGAGATAAAAGCTAGCACACGTGCCTGGCCTTCACAGGACCCCAGGTTTGACTTCAGGCTCCCCCACACCACCGGTGTTGCTCTGGTGTCCCCCACCCTGGCACAGTTGGGGAGAAGCCCCTCATAAAAAAGAACCACAAGTACTCTTGGCAGATGTAATAGTGCTTGCTATTACACTGGTCCAACTTCATATGTTTCTAGGCATACTGTAGTAAAGGTTTGTTAGTGACCAAATATCTCAGTTTATAAAGACAGTCTTTTCAATGTTAGTATTTTCTTCGTAGAAATTAATTATTTTGGACCACATCTGTTCTGTATGCATGCAAATCACTGTCTTGCTACCCTTCTAATTATTTTGCAAAACCACTTAGTGGTCATTTACAGTTAGTGTGTCTTTTGTTTTATTTTATTGGTTTTGAGGCCACACCTAGCAATTCTCAGGGGTAATGTTCCTGGCTCTGCACTCAGGAATCAATCCTGGCAGTGCTCAGGGGACCATGTAAAATGCCAGGGATTGAACCTGGGTCACTGCATGCAAGGCAAGCACCTTACCTTCTATCCTGTCTCTCCAATCTCTGTGCTTTTATTCAAAATTTATTAATAGCACTAATCTGTAGCCAAGAAAAAATTAATGACTTTCCTCTAATACCATCTGTTGAGTTGACTGCAGAGGGGTTTAGCCTAATTATTACCTTAATTTGAGGTAAGCCTATGCCTTTAACTGACTTCCATTTAAAAGAAGCTTTCTTTCTTTTAAATCACTATCCTTTGAAATTAATTAAGCATACAATCTATTTGTAAACTAACTGGTCAAATGAATAAATAGTTTCTTACTCTTGAAGCACCATGAAACACCTTTTTTGAATTTGGACCTGGATTCAAATCCCAGTTTAGCCTTATTGAATTCAGTGTTATGGCATTAGTATTATCACTATAAATTTGTGAACTTCTTATGAGAATTCATCGCAATAAAGAGCAGATAAATGAATCAGATAATTAGAATGCCCATTTCTGCCTGGCATTGTTCTGTTACTGATATAAGTAAATATGACAAAATTCCTGTTGCTGTTTTCATTGGGAAAGCCTTAGCAACCAACATGGAAGCAAGTAATGTAATTTGATGTAGTGAGTGATAAATTCCATGAAGATAAATAAAGCTCTCAGCTTTAGATACAAAGTTTAATTAAACCTTCGAATTTTTGTTAGAATTTTAAAGATATAGTAAGCACATGTCCATCCTAATTCATCAGTTAACATGTTGCCATTTAGTTGTATTTCTCTGGTCATAGATATGTCTGGAAAAACTTTTCCCTCCAAATCATTTGAAAATGAAGTGGCAGATATAATTATAGAAATATAATAATAAATATGTTTGCAAGTAAGTTTTTATTACTCTTTTTAAAAACTTACAAATGTGAGACTACCCCTTATTTAATTTAAGCACTGTGAAGAGTGGAAACATTTACCAAGGAATAATAATTCCAATTACATGCTGTGCTGAATGCTTTCACATGATCTCATTAAGTCTTCAAGAGCTTACAAATATAGAATAATGATCTCTATAGTACAGAAGAAAAGTGAATGAATTACTCAAAGTAAAATCATTTAATTAAGCTTTCTTAATTACAACTGGACTATCAAATGGCAAAGCAAGGATTTGGTTCCATATCTATTGACCTTTAAAACTAGTGATTTCCGGGCCAGAGCAATAGCACAGGTAGGGCATTTGCCTTGCATGCAGCCAACCCAGGTTCAATTCCCAGCATCCCATATGGTCCCCTGAGCACTGCCAGGAGTACTGCCAGGAGTAATTCCTGAGTGCAGAGCCAGGAGTAGCCCCTGTGCATTGCTGGGTGTGACCCAAAAAGGAAAAAAAAACACTAGTGATTTCCCTCTAGCCTGTTGCTTTGGAGCATTTTTTTCTGTAAACCCCAATACATAAGGGATGCGAATGGTAAATAGTCCTTTATGAAGAAATTTCTTTTGAGCCACCTTTGTAATACCTACGGGATTAAAATTTCAGTTTTTTGTGGCAGCGATTATAAATTCCTTATATTTGATACCTGTTTCCTGTCCAGCATGTACTGCAGCAAGAATCCTCTTGCTCCACGCATGTCTGTGCCTTATTCTTCAGGTCTGTTCAGGGACTGGAGCTTCTGCTTCAAAGGTTCACTGCTGAAAGGTGCCTCCCATAACCACAGTTTCCAATTCTGTGGATGTGAGGTGAGATCCACATTTCCTACTTCTGATACCTCCCCAGGCCATCTTGATGTTTCTGGTTAACCTGGGGACCACCCTTTGCAAATTGCTATCTCATTTTTGTCCAGCCTCTGCACACACTGCCCATAACAGTTGATGGTATATTTTGTCTTGACTGTCCTATCATCCATCACCTTCCCTTGAATTCTCTTTTATTGAAATGGTTTGCTGTTCTCAACTCTTGGTATATAGAGTATCACTTGGGAACTTGTTCACAAAGAAGATTGAAACCAGAAACCTTTATTTTTATCCAACACCCTAGATTTTAATGCATAGATTATAAAGTCATGAACTTATGGGTCACTCATACATTCCTCCTGGCCATGGCTGTGTTGTCATTTCTCTGTTTTTTGTACTATGGTGTTGTTCTGTGTTATGTCTTTTTTGAACCAGAATCCATGGGAGAGAGGATCTGTGTCTTCCTGTTTGCCACAGAGCAGTGTTGAAAAGCAGAAGGAGTGCTGCCCGTGTCACCCTGCTGTACGATGTTGGAGAATTTATTTTCTCTCTCAGAACCTGAGTTTCCTGTTTTATTCAGTGGCAGATATTTGCAGTGAAAGTTAGTTCTGAAATACTCTTAGCAGTTTGCATACTCCATTAAACGGAAATCATTACTTATTGTAGTGGTGGCAGTAAAACTACTGGAAAAACAAGATGATTGTTTGAATTAATGAAAACCCATTTCATTAATTACAATTTTGAACCCAAAGTTCAGGATATGTGTACAACACTTCATTAACCAATTTTTGCTTGTCTTGAGTATATTTTATTTTTTGGTATTTTAATAAAATGTGATTAACGTAAATCATGTCTGGAATGTTTTCTCTTCCTCAGGGAAACAAAGAAACCGTTTGGAACCAATGGACACCATATTTGTTAAACAGGTGAAAGAAGGTGGCCCTGCATTTGAAGCCGGATTGTGCACAGGTAAGTTCTCATTATTTTTTCTTACACGGTAGCTTTCCATTTATTTTTTATTCTCTCTGCTTCCTACTTAATTTCCTACATAGTTTTATGTTTCTTGATATCCCAATTGATCGGTTTGAGCACAAATTTTTTAAAAATGAATAAATTGTGAGTGCTTTTAATTTTAATTCACATAACTTCAAAAGTAATAACTGAATAGATTAGGAAAAATAAGTTCCTTTGGAATTTTCTGTGCAGCATTCACTGTACTTTATAAAATGATATGCAGTATTTACCAAACACAAGTTTGATTTTTGGTTGACACAATTGCAATATTCTTATAAGTCTGACTTCTTACTGCCTGAACTGCCACCAGTTGTTGCTTCTTTATTGTGGCTTTTAATGATATTTAGCATGTTTTCTTGTACCTGTGGGCCATCTGTATATCTTCTTTGGGAAAAAAATCTTATTTAGAATTCTTGCCAGTTTTTGCTTTACTTTTTATTGTTGACTTTTTGGCATGGTGTTAAAAAATAGCTGGCAGTGCTCAAGGGTTATTCCCAGGATGCTAAAATGAACCATGCAGTGCTGGGTATTGAACTGGGCCTGCACTCAGAGCTTGCTTTGAGCTATCTCTCCAACCCCTCTTATTCTTACTGTTGAGTTGTATGAGTTATTTACATATTTTAAGTACCAGACACATGATTTACATATACTTTCTCTCATTTAATAGGTTGCCACTTGACTTTTTCTATTTTTTGTTTTGGGGCCACATCCAGTGATGCCCAAGCCTTACTTCAGACTCTGAACTTAGGGGTCACTTCGTGCAGGGTTCAGGGGACCTTATGGGGTGCCAGCGATCAAACTTGGGTCAGCTATATGCAAGGCCTGCTGTACTGTCTCTTTGGCCCTAATCATGTCACTTTTTTCTTTTTTCCAAAATGTTTTCCTAGGCTATATGGAAAATTTTTATCATGATCATTGTTCCACTTGTTTATTTTTGTGTTTTGTTGCTTTTCTTTTTGGTATAAAACATTCTTTTTTTTTTTTTTTTTTTTTTTGCTTTTTGAGTCACACCCAGTGATAAACAGGGGTTACTCCTGGCTCTGCACTCAGGAATTATTCCTGGCTATTTGGGGGACCATATAGGATGCTGGGAATTGAACCCGGGTCGGCCGCATGCAAGACAAATGCCCTACCCGCTATACTATCACTTCAGCCCCAGGTATAAAATATTCTTAAAAATTGAAAAAAGTTCCCAAGATCACCATAATTTTTTGTATATCCTCTAAGATTATGGTCCAGTTTCACTCTTTTGCATGTGGTTTAAAATTTTTTTTCCCCAGCACCATTTACTAAAGAGGCTGTTTTATTCCCTAGTGTGTATTTTCTTGAATCATAAATTAGTTGAAGTGACTATATACGTGTGAGCTTATTCCTATGAGGGCTCCATGTCTGTCCCACTGACCTATATATCTAATGCCAATACCATACTATTTGATGACCATTGGTTTGTAATATAGTTTTAAATCAGGAGCAGAAGCAATTTTTAAAAGGAATTCCTCATGTGTTTTTTATTCCTTCGAAGGTGACCGAATTATAAAAGTTAATGGTGAAAGTGTTATTGGAAAGACCTATTCCCAAGTAATTGCTTTAATTCAGAACAGGTAAGATACTTGAAATGTGACTTTTTGGGGCCCAATATGAATTCTTTATATAAGTTAGTAGAACTATCTTTCAAATATTGATGTAAGACAATATTCTATTTCTGCAAGGGATTAGGATGATATTGAAGTTGTGAAACTTTTCCTCAAAGTGGATAATTCATTTGAGAGTTGTCAAGAATGAATTTCCTCAGGACAGCTTAGTGATTTTGCTTTGACAAGTATCATTTTAGTGGGTTTAAAAATCCCTTTAGAATCTGATAGGCACAAATTTTTTAAATACAATTTTATTTATATACAATTGCACATTGAATTTATTTTGCAATGTTTTGCTGAGAAAAGTTATTTTTAGATCATTTTAAAAAAATTGAATCACTGTGAGATACAGTTACAAAGTTATTCATGATTGGATTTTGAGCATATAATGTTCCAATACCTTTAAAAACTTTGTGTATAATCTGACATAGTTTTCTTCATTTTAATTAATAAAGAGAATGAGAAAGTTTCTTTTAATCATTTAGTTGCTTGTATTCTACAGAATGATGAAATGTGACCTCAGAATCAGTTTGCTTCTGCATGCTATCACACACCTAAAATAATGGTTTAAATAATAAATAGAGAAGTAAAAATTGGGACCAGAACAATAGTACAGTGGATAGGGCCACCTTGCAAGTGGCCATCCCAGGTTCAATCCCTGGCATCCCATATGGTGCCCTGAAGCACCACCAGGAGTAGTTCCTGAGTGCAGAGCCAGGAGTAATTCCTGAGTTCTGAGCATCACCAGGTATGACCCAAAAAGCCAACAACAACAACACAAAAAAAGTGAGAGAGAAAAGTTAAAAAGTGTTGCCATTAAAAAAAAAAATGTTGCCATATTGAATTTCCGTAAAGATCAAGCTATGTTTAATTCAAGGTCTGTTTCCTAGATCATCACTATTTAAAGAAAGTCTTCTCAGATTCAAATAGAGTAACTTTGGGATTATTTATTACTTTACATTAGCCATACATCCTGTATGTAACTGAATCCAAGTTCTTTGCTTTCCAAAGTTTTTTGTGTGTTTCTTTAAAATTCAGATCTTCTATGTTTATAGCAGTTCATTTTATAACCTAAAGTGTTCACATTAATGTCCTACTACATTGTCATTTTTACAATTAAGTAATGTGATTGTGGTTTATTGATGTCAGAGTATTCTCCTTACTGTTTAAATATTTGATGAGATTTCTAGAAAAAGCAAGTCTTAAAATCTTGGCTCTATTGTTGGATCCTTAGTATTCTTGTCATTGACACCTATTTGATCTTAAAAGTGTTAAGGAGACATGAGGCTTGGCCAAGAACGTAAACCCTCTTTGGAGACAGTGGGAGATCTACTCAGATTTTCTTTTCTTTGCAATAATTTAGCTCATGGAAAATATACCAATATGTTTTTATCAACCTCAATGTTTGAGGATTTTAGTGTAATTTTTAGCATTTTTTTCTTTTAAACTACTATCCTTCCAAGTAACCATAACTTAATCTTTGTTTTCCTTAAAATCCACTTATTTTTTCTTTTCTCTTTTTTTCTTTTTTTGAGTTGTTGGTGCATTTCATCTTCAGAGTCCTAACACTTTGGAATGACGGTCTTACATTTTTCAATTTAAAGTAATTGAAAAACGGAAATGTTGGGATTTTTTTGTGATCTTATTTTCTTTTAAAAAATTGTGTTCCTTTTGTCTGCAGTTGGTAGCAAATGGATAATGCAGCACAAAGCCATTGAGATTCTGCAGTGTATTAATGTAAAAATGTATCCTTGCAGAAGAATTTATCTAAACATCAGTATGTATTTTCTACCAACTCTAAATGTTGAAATACAAGTACCTACATGTTCTACCAGTTAAACTGATTTGAACCTGTGGTCATAGGGAGTTTGTTATTCTCTCAGTGTTTATGAACCTGAAAGCGAAGATTTGGATCTATTAAAATGATAATGCCAGTAAATCATTAGATTTTGTGTTCTTTTGATTGTATTATTGGAAAGTCCGTCTGATACTGCTAGGCTGGCTACTGACATCCTGTTGGGGATGGTGCCACAAGTCTTACCTTTCTAAATATAATTTCAGATCACAGCATTCAGTATAATTTGCCCTTCCAACTTTCTTTAAGCCTAGGGAAACCTCTCTATGAGCTTTCGTTTGTTTTGGCCACACCCAGTGGTGCTTAGCAGTTCTTTGCCCTCTGCTTGAGCGGTTGCTCCTGGTAGTACTTGGGGGACCATCCAGTGGAGAGGATCGAATCAGGCTCCTGTGAGCACTCTAACCTCTGAGCTCTTTTTCTGGCCCTCTATCTCTCTGTCTCTCTCTCCCCCCACCCCCTCCAGGAAATTTATAGTACAAGAGATTTAGCTATTCCTGTAATGGTGCTAAATTTCAATCATAGAAAAGAAAGGACATATGTTACATTCTATGTTTTTTTTTTCCCTGAAAAAGGAGTGATTTTGGCGGTTGCAGTAGTCAGCACTGATCTCCTGATCCCTGAGGCCAAAAGGGACTGTTTCAAACTCAAGGTGTTCAGTAGTGCATAAACATTAAATCTAATAAAAGTTCATTGGTTATTTTAAGTTAGTGTATTTTTAACTTGAAAATTTGTGAGAATATCTGGTAAAAATAAATTGGAATTTGTACTATGGCTTGAAGTAAAATAATGTAGTTAGATGCCGATGAACTTTGTTCTAGGACTTTTAATAAAAGTAACAAATATTTGACATTTCTGAATAAGAAAGATATTATTAAGAAGACTTGTCTGATTTAAGCAGTTCAAACCTGTGTCAGTGAACCTTCCTTTGTACATAGTTGTCTTATGTCTATCAGAGTTACTGCATTTTGATGTTTTGTGACGTGGAAAGTAAAGATTTTTAGAGACTAAAATTTAAACTTACAAATAAATTTTAAAGTACTTCCAAGTTAATGATTTTTCCTTGATGTCTTCTGTGTGTCCACCTCTTCTAAATAGTGTGTATGTATTTAATTTCAGTGATACAACTTTGGAACTTAGTGTTATGCCAAAAGATGAAGATATTCTCCAAGTGGTAAGGTTTTTTTTATTATTCAAATATGAATTGTTTTACAATCACAACTCTGTAAAGTTCTTTAAAGATGGTGGCAAAGGATTGGAGCAATAGTAAGCGGGGAGGTGTTTGCCTTGCACACAGGTGACCAGGTTAGATCCCCGGTATCCCATATCCTCCCCAGAGCACTCCCAGGAGTAATTCCTGAGTGCAGAGCAGGACTAATCCCTGAGCATCGCCGGGTGTGACCCAAATAGCAGGAAAAAAGAAAAAAATGAAGGCGAGTGGAGGAAACAGATTTCTAGCTGGAGGACAACAAACCTCAGGTTCATTGAGCAAAGTCTAGAATTCTCTATATCTTACCACAGAAGGGTTCTGGCAGTTCTTTTGTAATTAAATAGCATGAGGACAATTTTTTGAGTACAGAGTGAGTTTTCCTTTCCCTTTCTTTCTTTTTTTTTTTTTTACTTTTTTTTGGGGGGGTCATACCTGACAATGTGGCTGGAGCAATAGCATAATGGGTAGGGCATTTGCCTTGCACGCGGTCGACCTGGGTTTGATTTCTTCGCCACTCTTGAAGAGCCCGGCAAGCTACCGAGAATATCTTGCCCGCACGGCAGAGCTGGCAAGGTACCCGTGATGTATTTGATATGCCAAAAACAGTAACAAGAAGTCTCACAATTTGTTGTGAGGTGTTACTAGTGCCTGCTCAAGCAAATCAATGAACAATCGGAGGACAGTGCTACCTGGCAATGCATAGGGGTTACTCCTGGCTCATCACACACTCAGGAATTACTCTTGGTGGTGCTCGGGGGACCATATGGGATGCTGGGAATTGAACCCAGACTAGCCGTGTACAAGGCAAACGTCCTACCCGCTGTGCTATCACTCCAGCCCCCAGAGTGAGTTTTCAATATTGCCACATAGAATGAGACTTCTAAAGCGTTTCCCATCCCGTAACCCCACCCCCAGTGTTGTAATTTAGGTAGTCCTTTGACTAAAACTTACAAAGGCTCAGGTTACAAGTACACATGCCCAAGAAGATAATCTGTTTTAAAAATTAGACAGTTTTATGAAGGCCAATTCCCTCAAACCTGATTTTCGAATAAATATTCCTTACCTAGCCAAGGTTGTATGTCAGCTCACCTAACAGTTTGATAACAATTTCATCTCATTACATTAGAAGTGAGACATCAAAAAAAAAAAAAGAAGTGAGACATCAAAGGTGGGTGATATACCTCAGTAGTAGGTATCATGCCAAGCAGGTAATGGATTGGAGCTCATGCTTTGCATATGAGAACACCTGATTCAGTCCCCGGCATTGTATGGTGTTCTGAGTAGCACTGAGTATGATCCCAAACCAGCAGCAACCCCTTACCTATACACCGAGAAGGGAAGTTCAAGAAGAGGTGAAGAGAGTGCAATTTGAGGGAAAGTATGGTATGTTAGTGGCTTATGATAAACTTAACTCCAGCGGTAGGGTGTTCGCCTTACAAGCGGCCAACATGGCCGACCCGAGTTCGATTCCTCCGCCCCTCTCGGAGAGCCCCGCAAGCTACCGAGAGTGTTCCATATGCCAGACACAGTAACAACAAAGTCTCCAATGGAGACGTTACTGGGCCCGCTCGAGCAAATCGACGATCAACGGGAGGGCCTTTACCTTTACCTTTACCTTTAACTCCATTAAGCTTAAATATTACTGAAAACAGATGACAAAATGTTACTTTGATGATAGAAAAGAATACCCCAGATTTTGCAGTCTAGCATTAGAAAACAGTATACATGTTTTAACACTTGAAAGCTGACAGTGAGCTCTAAGAAATGGTAACAGCCGCTGAAGTATTTAAATTACTTTTCGTGACTAGTTGGGATTTTTCTTAGTTAAGAAAAATAGGGAGGGGGCTGAGAGATAGGACAGTTGGTAGGGTGCCTGCCTTGGTGTCTGAGGTGGGTTCAATTCCCAGTATCCCATGTGGTCCTCCTGGGTCCTACCACAAGTGATTCCTGAGTGCAGAGTTAGAAATAAGCCCTAAGCACCTTTTTAAAAAAAATGGAGCTCTGAGAAGGGGATAGAAATGGTAATATTAATTTGAAAGGCATTAATTTGAACTTAGCTTACCAAACATTCTAAATAATCTTCTGTAAACATTTTTTTGTTTTTCATTATAATTTTAAAATTGTGGTTATATACAAGTGATTTTATTCTGTTTGGGCGACTCCCCAGTCTGCTGGAAACTGCCAGTGCTGTACACCTGGCAGTGTTTAAGAGGCCATGCAGGACCAGGGATTGAACCTGGAAATTTGTATATTCAAGGCATTTGCTCTAACTATTTGACCCTTGGTTCAAGGGCTGGAGAGATAGTATGGCGATTAAGGCTCTTGCCTTGTACACTGCTGACCCCAGGTTAATTTTTGGCACTTCATATGGTCCCCAAGTACCTCCAAATCCCTGAGGACAGGACCGGTAGTAAGCTATATGAGGTCCCCAAAAAAACAAAACACCCAAGTTGATGATCATAATTTGATTCATTCACTGACATGGAAGATATAATTAATGAAATCCATGTATGTGTACCCTGTGTTTTACAATGTTGTGGTGATTTTATCTAGGAATGGCTTTTTACTGATGACAGATTACCTTTCTTTAGTGTTCAGTTCCCTTCAGCACAGAAAGTGCAGCTCTCTGCAGTAATTACCCCAGGCCAACTGCTAGTTGTTGGGTTGCATCGTGTAAGAATAGCAGGCAGATCATGAGCAAAGGGGAGAAGGCAGCTGGAATAGAGAAGGGATCACTAAGAAAATGATGGCTTGAGGAACCGGTCGGTATGGGAAATGTGTGCAGAAGGTAGATAAAGGACCAAACATGATAACTTCTCAGGGTCTGTATTGTAAACTATAATGCCCAAAAGTACAGAGAGAGTATGAGGAATATTGTCTGCCATGGAGGCAGGGGAAGGGTGGGAAAGGGGGAGGTATAACCAGGGATATTGGTGGTGGAGAATGTACACTGGTGGAGAGATGGGTGTTTGATCATTGTGTGATTGTAACCGAAACATGAAAGCTTATAACTATCTCATGGTGAGTCAATAAAATAATAATAATAATAATAATAATAATAATAATAATAATAATAAAAAGAAGAGCAGGCAGAACGCCGCAAGAGGCAATGGGGATTACCAGATTTGGGAGAAATGGGGACTTCTCTGGCAGTACCCTCATTCTGCAAAGGAGTAGGGAGTCTATGGTAGGAGGCTTTACCTCCAGTCCGCTCTGGTGTCTGATGACTGGGACACCGAGGGTGCTTCCAGACCAAGCAGATTCCTCATTGGGAGTAGGTGCTCTCCTGGCCCCAGGGAAGGCTCTGGTGCTCTTTCACAGAATGGATGCATGTGTTCTGAGTTCTTGGGGAGGAACCAGATTCAGAATGATCATCACAGGCTATTGTATGGTTGGTGAAAGCAACAGTGGAAGTGGCAGTAGCGGAAGGAATCATTTTCTCATAATGTGGCCAGTGAACAACTGGATTAATTGGCCATTGGCTTGGTTACATTTGAGTAAGGATAAACTGTCAAAAGTAGCAAAATATGAAGGCATAATCCTTTCTAAAAATTCATCCATAAAGCATTCTTAAATAGTGCCACAAAGTGCATTTTTCAAACTTGTCATATGGGGAAGGAGGACAGAGAGAGGGAGAGAGAGAGAGAGAGGGAGAGAGAGAGAGAGAGAGAGAGAGAGGAGAGAGAGAGAAAGAGCATCTATTGTGAGAGGACTAGCTCTCACGTGGTTTTTACTGGATGCCCCCAAATAGTGTTTTAATCATGTTGCTCAGAGGACTCAGTTATACCTACATAGGTCAGTTCTGACAGCACCAGAGAGTGAGTGCTGCTAATGTTTGACCAGGGCATTTTGAGCCTTCTTAGCATTGGTCTTTGTCAAAGGCAAGGTTAAACTGCCTTCAGCCTTCCCTGGGGGAAAGCAGTGGCACTGGTTTGGAGCCAGGCAGCTGTGAGACTAAAGCCCTTTCTCTAGACCACACCCTTGCCCTGGGCCGCCACTGAGGAAGATGCAGTGGTGGCCTCTCATCCTAGTGCAGAGCTCTTTCTCTGTCTCACCATAGGACCTGTTGTTCTAGTTGCCACTATGGGAGTATGTGATCTGTCACTGTCACTGTCCTCCCATTGTTCATCGATTTTCTCTAGCGGGCCCAGTAACGTCTCCATTGTGAGACTTTGTTGTTACTGTGTTTGGCATATCACGTCACGGGTAGCTTGCCAGGCTTTGCAGTGCAGGCGAGATACTCTCGGTAGCTTGCCGGGCTCTCCAAGAGGGGCGGAGGAATCGAACTCGGGTCGGCCATGTTGGCTGCATGCAAGGCAAAAGCCCTACCTGCTGTGCTATTGCTCCCGTATGTGATGTGGCCTGAAAATAAGAGAGGTGGGCAGCTCTTAGGAGTGCTTAGGGGCCCAGGGCTACTTCCAGCTGTTCTCTGCTGCCAGGGATCGAGCCTAGGGCTTCACACAAGCAGAAGGTATGTGCTCCATTGCTGGAATCCTTTGTTGCTGAACCTGAGTTTTGTTATTGTTTGTGGTTACACCCAGCAGTGCTCAGGGCTTGCTCCTGGCTCTGTGCTCAGGGATCACTCCTGGTGATCGGTGCTTAGGGGACCATACTGTTTTTATCTCTAGTACATCTGCTGACAGTAAACAGTAGTACTGTACCTTGTAGACCTTCTGTTGATTCAACCCGCTGTTCCTGTGTATGTATGGTTCCTGTGTATGTATGTGCCCTCCACCCCCATTCAGACCTATATCCAGGAAAAATCCCTGAATTATAGCCTGTTTTGTATTTAGGATTGCTATTTGTAATCTTAAAAATGTCCTAAAAAGGGCGTCAAGCATTTTTTAGTTCAAGCCATATACTTCTGTTATTAAAAGATAATATCTTTCCCCAGTTTTGAATATGGAAGTTGTCTTTAAAATGGGACATTTGCTGGGACATTTGCTAATAGAAATTCTATTCCTCTTAAAACTTTGCAGGAAGGTAAAGGGTTTAAAGGGCAGTAAGACTGTAAGATCCCTGTTAGTTTCACAGTATATGTTAAGGTAGTGGAGGTCTTGAAGCTTGTGCTTGACTTTCCCTCCCTTACTGGCCACACGGGTGATGCTTAAACAAACCACACAAACACTTAGTGGCAAGTACTGAATCAGAGTTTGCTCATCCAGATAAGGTTTCAGTTCATGGAAGAATATCTGTACAATATCATCCACATTGGATCAGGACGAATAACCAAGAATAGATTTTTGGATTGACTGTATTCATCCTGTAAAAAATAATATTACAACATGCCTGTTTTCTTTGATCTACTTGGTTTTAGTTCCTGATTGAATTCTAGTTTATGTTCTGTGACACTTATGAAATGTCTTGAAAAAAATTGCAAGTGGTAGTTTGTGTCTATTTAGCAGTTACGTCTGTAATCTAACAAAATAGGATTTTTTTTTTTAAAAAAAAGCATCGTGTTGAAAAAGAATTCCAATTTTTGAGTGAAATCTTTTTTTTTTTAAGTCACTCTTGCCGCCCCCACCCCACTCCCCAAATCATAGTGTACAAGGCAGCTGCAGTCAGCTGACAGCGTACGGTTCTGCTCTCGTTTACAGGGGAAGGAGGAGGTTGTACTATTTTAAATGCATAATAGGGCATTCGTTTCGTCATCTGGAAGCAGAGATGGGAGCAGCACAGGGAAGCGAGAGACAGCAGTGTTGCTCCTGTAGAAGGGAAGCCTTCTAGCACGTTATCAGGCAGTAGACCAGATGGAAGAAGAAATCTGTTAGGAATGCACATCAGCAGATGTCTTTTGCCTTCCAGAATGATAGACAAATCACATAAGAAGCAGAAAAAAGCCTGAGAAAAGATGCGTAGAAGGATACTGAAGTTATTCTTTCTGCTTCACTGCCCTTTACCTCTCTTGGTACCTTCCAGAGAAATCAGTATAGATGTATTTTTAGCTTGCTGTTTCCAGCATCAATATGACAACATGATTCTGTCTTTATATCAGTAAGCAGCTTCTACTATGTTTTCCTATTTCCTGCTAGCTACAGTTTACAAAGGATGTCACAGCGCTGGTAAGAAATGCACAGAAGCCATTGCCTTGCTTTTTAAAGTCATGTCTTGTGGATTTTGTCAAAAGTCAGTCTATTAAACTGATTTTGCATAGAACAGCCCCTCTCTAGTGTTAATCTTACTAATTTTTGCAGAATGTATTTGTGATATTTGGTTTTCTTTATTTTTCATTTTTGTGTGTCCTTTTTTTTTTGTATCCTGTGTATAACTGCTGTGAAAACACAATGTTTATTTGCATTTAAAAAAATTTTCTTTCTGTGGTACTTTGCTGTTATGTTTGTGGCTGCACTTGAGCTTTGCAAGCTGTTTAATGCAAAGACAGGCTATAATGATAGTCTTGAATTATGCTTGTTTTGCTTGGGGGGGAATATGTTATATGATCCCACATCTAACCTGATTTTCGTGGATTGGCTCTGTCTTATAGTTTTTGTGTTCAGTTTCAGTTATTCTTAAGCTCTAAAAATATTGCCAGGTAATTCCAGTTGATAAAAATGATTTGAACTGCATGCCTACCTATATAGGGAAATGTCCCCAGATAATAGGTGACAGGGACCAAAAAAAATTATACAATATAATCTTGGACTAGCATAAAAGATACAAATTATATAAGACATGATGGATGCCTGTTTTTATTTTTTAGATCATAATATTTTACTTCTTAAACATGCATATTCTCTTAAACATTAAAGAAATCAGCATGTTTGTTGAGAGATTTAATTTGTGAAATTGAATTATTTTCAGAGACTCAGCCATTAATTAATGAGACCTGTTCAATAAATTTTCTTTAATTTATGACTACAGTGGTGCTTAAAATGTGTTTGGCAAGGATTTTTAATATTTTTACCTGCTCTCTGGCAAAAGATTAGAATCTCTTTAGCTGGAATTTATCGGGCAGCTATTTAACCTGCCAACTGCTGGAAAATCATAAAACTTGAATGAGGAAAATTTTAGAATCAACACGACTTTATCTAATTGACTGAGGGGTGGGATTTGGCATAGTTCAAATCTTTTGGGCAGTAGGCCATTGTAACTGATGAATGTTGCAAAACCTACCATTTGTTTGCTTTTTGAGAGCCCAGCCCTTATCTAACCATGTGGAAGTACCTTATGTTGTTTCTGCATGCTACTGAGAGTGATTGTGATTCAGGACCGAGGTAGGGGGGTAGGATAGTAAAAGATCGGCAGCAAGAATGGATGTTATTGTCCTTTTTATGAATTTCAAATGACTTTTTCCCCATTTTATCTCCCTGTAGGCCTATTCTCAAGATGCCTACCTGAAAGGCAATGAAGCCTACAGCGGCAATGCCCGCAACATACCCGAACCCCCGCCAGTTTGCTATCCCCGGACGCCATCTGCCCCTTCTGCCGTGGCACAACAGCCGGCTGAAATCTCTCCTCCAGACTCATCCTCGAGCAAGCAGCAATCCGGGACTCCCGTACTGATGCAACCCGCCAGGGCCTATCGAATGGAAATACAAGTGCCTCCATCCCCAACCGACGTTGCAAAGTCCAACACAGCAGTGTGTGTCTGCAGTGAAAGTGTGAGGACTGTCATTGTACCTTCTGAGAAGGTTGTAGATGTGTTAAGTAATAGAAACAACCACACCGTCCCTTCACATAGGACTGAAGAAGTCAGGTATGGCGTGAACGAGCAGACCCCTTTAAAAACCGTGTCAAGGATCACATCACCGCCATCCTCAGTTCCCACTGCCCAACTGATTCATCAGACAGCAGGCTCGCGGCCCCCGGAAGCGCCTGGGATCTTCCTTAAGTCCGGCAATTACAGTGGCCATGCAGAAGGCATCTCAGGCAGTCGGTCGCTCACCGGGGATTCGCCGTCTGTATCCGTTAATCACTACTCTCCAAACTCCCATCAGCACATAGACTGGAAAAACTACAAAACTTACAAAGAGTATATTGATAACAGGCGATTGCACATAGGTTGTCGGACGATTCAAGAGCGACTGGATAGTTTACGAGCTGCATCTCAGAGCACAACGGACTATAACCAGGTGGTACCAAACCGCACGGCGCAGCAGGTACGACGGCGCAGCACCTCACACGACAGGGGGCCCCAGGCGGCCCAGATCCGCCAGCGCAGCGTGTCCCAGGAGCGGCTGGAGGACTCGGTGCTGATGAAGTACTGCCCCAGGAGCGCGTCGCAGGGCGCCCTGACCGCCCCGGCCATCGGGTTCAGCAATCACCGGACTCGCTCCTGGGACTACATTGAGGGGCAGGCCGAGCCGGCGGACGCGGTCAGCTCCGACGGGCAGCTGCCTGATGCCAACGGCGAGCGGAAGCAGACCTACCAGTGGAGCGGCTTCACGGAGCAGGACGACCGGCGGGGCATCTACGAGCGGGCGCGGCAGCCCGACGTGCACCGAGCGTTCCGCGGCGCCAACCTCACCGTGGCGCCCAGTGCGGTCACCTCCGACCACCGGCGACTGGGCAGCCGCGGGCCGCCGTTTAAGAAACTGCCCCCGGACCTCAAAGCCCCACCGGCCGCCCGGGCCCTGCACACGCCCGGGGGAGCGGCCCTGCCTCGAGGGCTGTCCCAGGAGCGCTCGACCCTGGGGAAAGCCCAGAGTAACTCCCTGAAAGCGCCTTCCACGCCCGCCGCCAAGCCGCCCTGCGCCCAGCACGCGCCGACCCCCAGAGACCAAAGACCCGCCAACCACTTGCATCCCAACAGCCTCCTGAGCCCGCAGTCCTGGGCACGAGCCGACGGTGCTCCCGAGCCTCCCGCCGAGCCTGGCAAGGTGGCCCCGTTCCCCGGCGCCTGCCCGAGGCCCGGCCCTCCAGTGAGGGACAGCCCTGGCACCGCGTCGCTGTCCGGGCTTCAGGATCTGAGTGTCCCCGAGGCCGAGCCCCCGCAGTCGGTTCCGGGCGAGAACAAAGACGCCGTCATCCTGCGAGAGAAGCCGCCGTCGGGCCGCCAGACCCCGCAGCCCCTCCGCCATCAGTCTTACATCTTGGCTGTTAACGACCAAGACACGGGCTCGGACACCACCTGCTGGCTGCCCAACGACGCGCGCCGCGAGGTGCAGATCAAGCGGCTGGAGGAGAGGAAGGGCTCCAGTAGCAGTCCGCCCGGGGACTCGCTGGCCTCCATCCCCTTCATAGGTGAGCCCATGCCCAGCCTGTGGTCTGCACGCACAGACCACACACATCCCACGGGGACGTACATTCACACTCCGATTTTGGAATACGCGCCCAAAATGCCATTGTACCTTCAACAAACCATGTATTCGGTACCCATTTAAGTGTTTTCTTTTGTATCCTTTTCAAAGAACTATTGTAGTATAGGTAACATGTTTATAGTGGCACTCACCTATCTATCTATCTATCTATCTATCTATCTATCTGTATATTGGTTCCCTCAGGTCAATGGAGGAGTATTAGGGGCAGTGCCCTGCTAATTGTGGCTAGGTTGGAGCCTTTGCCCTCCTACTACCCACTGACCAATAACAGTTACCCTGGGGAATGCAGGTCTGTATCAGCCACTGCTGTGGTCCACTTGACCAAAGGAACCAGGTAAAGTCTGTAGCAATGAGCATTCATGTGCTGCCTGACTATGGGTTTGAGCTCTGCCCCATACCTCACACCACCAAAGTGCTTTTTTTTAAAGAGTATAAAATATTCAAGTTTGCAAACATTAAGAGGAGTCACAAACTAAATTGCATGCATTCATATCTGTGCTCTTAAGGGCAAACTCAGGAGGACACTTTCCTGTAGATGGAACCTTACAATTCTCCAGATATTTTATAGGAAACAGCTAAATAATGATTGTGTATTTTTTTTTCCAAATACAAAAGGTCTATAGCCTGTGTCTATTTCATAGTTCTGTGAGGTCTAAGCAGAATAACAGCATCATATGTTTTCATAGTTACTCCTAATTACAGGAATAAAACAAAAGTCAGTTATGTTACTAATGAAAGAACTTGGCTAAAATATAAAATACTATATAACTTCTAGAACCACAGATATAACTCAGCTTGAGACCCTGAGTTTCATACCCAGTTCTGTCCTCCATCCCCTTCCCCAATATATAATTCTATTTAAGTATTGGGCTGGAGCGATAGTACAGCAGTAGGGCGTTTGCCCTGCACGCAGCCAACATGGCCAACCTGAGTTCGATTCCTCCACCCCTCTCGGAGAGCCAGACAAGTTACAGAGAGTATCTCGCCTGCACGGCAGAGCCTGACAAGCTATCCGTGACGTATTTGATATGCCAAACACAGTAACAACAAAGTCTCACAATGGAGACATTCCTGGACCCGCTCGAAAAATCGATGAACAATGGGAGGACAGTGCCAATTTAAGTATTGATATATCAAAGTATTTTAAACAAGCCATTTTGTTTATTCATTGAAAATGAAAATACTATTCTGATTAGATTTACTTGTAACAATTTTCAGTCTCCTTCCTAGTTTCTAATGAATGATTTGTGAATTGTGACTTTCAGACATAGGTATTTCCCTCTAAAATTTATATAGCTTGCAATTATGTGATGTATCACTTACTCTGCACCAATGGAAATAAGATAGACTGTCACTGTCATTGTCCTCTCGTTGTTCATCGATTTGCTCGAGCGGGCCCAGTAACATCTCCATTGGAGACTTTGTTGTTACTGTGTTTGGCATATCAAATACATCACGGGTAGCTTGCCAGGCTCTGCCGTGCGGGCGAGATACTCTCAGTAGCTTGCCGGGCTCTCTGAGAGGGGCGGAGGAATCGAACTCGGGTTGGCCTTGTTGGCTGCATGCGAGGCAAACGCCCTACCCCTGTGCTATCGCTCCAGCCCAAGATAGACTAAAAACTAATTATTATTATATGCTGATTAAAATTGATTCACAGAGAAGTTTCAAAATACTTTATTGCTAGAATGTAAATTGCCGCTTTCAAAAAAGAGGTGAATGGGACTGGGGCGAAAGTACAGCAGGTAGGGCATTTACCATGCACACGACTGACCCAGGTTCAATCCCTGGCATCCCATATGGTCCCCAAGCACCGCCAGGAGTAATTCCTGAGTGCAGAACCAGGAATAACCCCTGAGCATAGCTGGGTGTGACCCAAAAAGGAAAAAAAAATAGGTGGAAAGGGAAAATAAGGGACTATATAATAGTCAGAATCGGTTCTTAGAGATGGTTGAGCGGTTGTGTGGTCATCCCTTGTTCGATTTCCAGCCCTGCATGGTCCCCTGAGTGGTGGGAGTGACTCTTGAATACAGAACTGGGAGAAGCCCCCAGCACCAATGGGTTTGGCTCCCCAAACAAAACAAACAAAAAAATAGCATGTATTGATTTTAGCCATAAAGTGGAAATGGAAATGTTATAATGTTGCAACATTTTTAACAACTTGATTACAATGCTGACAATTAAAATGATAAAGAACTCTTAGAATTTTGTCAAAATTTTTATGTTTGACCTTTTTAAATCAAGCAATCAAAATGCTGTTTCATTACATAGTGTGTTCTTTGAAGAGTTTTTTTTTTTATAAGTCTTGGGGTGTTTTATATCAAGATTATAATTCTGGCATCTTATCTCCCTTGGCCTAAACAGCACTGATGTTTTTAAAACGTGAGAAATGTGAGCAGTTATTCTTGGAAAACAAAGATGATACATTTAAAGGGCAGGATTTCGAGTATAGTCCCTCTGGGCTCAGCTTCCATCTTTGGAGCCTGGTGACATCACATAGATGACTTAGCTCTCTTTCCTGGTTTCTTCATTTATGAAGCGGTACCTCGCAGAATTCCATAAGAATGAAGTGAAATAATGTATGTTAATCCTCAAGCCTAGTGTTGGACCCAGTCCCCACCGTTAAGACGCTCTGTTGGAAGCTCCATTCATTTGCACAGTTTTACCCTTGACAGTGACAGGCTTCGTGGGGGGAAACTTGAACTTCACATCATCTGAATAATTCCAGTTTTACCAAGAGAAGAAGGGGCACTGACATGGGCAAAAGGAGGTTTCTCCTGAGTAAGAGCTTCTGTCTCTCTGAAAAGGATGGCCTTGCCTGATTTGCCCTAAGTGCAGGTGCTGACCTGGGGCAGGTCTTCCAAACACCATTGACTTGAGAAGTAAACATGTATTTACTTCTGGAGCCTGAGTCCCCTCTGCCCTGTCTCCACTGCTCACGGGAGAGCGCAGGATTCTATGGGTCTCTTAGAGGTACCCCAAGCCCAGCGCTGAAGGGCCTGCTCACATCCCCGGGCCCTGCCTCCCTCTTGTCAGGAATGCCATTGCAAGTTGGGAATTTGGGGGGAAGCTGGGAAGGTGTGCCTGGGCACACACAGCCATCATACCTACTACAGTGCCCTCTGTTGTGGGTATGTTTATCTGCCAGCTAGAAACCACATTTTCTCATTTTTCTACAAAAACCGCAGATGCTTCTTGGGGGGATGGGGGAGAGGTAAGGTTTGGGGAGTTGATCCTTTGAAAATGAAGCCTCAACCCCAGTCGCCTTGCTTAGCATCCTGAAACAATCATTTGCAATAACTTAGAATTTGGAAATGACTTCTTTGAGAATCACTGTCACTGTCCTCCCATTGTTCATCAATTTGCTCGAGCAGGGCCAGTAATATTGTGAGACTTGTTCGTGCGGGCGAGGTACTCTCGGTAGCTTGCCGAGCTCTCTGAGAGGGGCGGAGGAATCGAAGGCGGAGGAATTGAACTCAGGTCGGCCGCGTGCAAGGCAAACCTTCTACCCGCTGTTTGTCACCATTCTGATAAGTTAAGATTTTGAATGCCTGTAAATGTTGTTATCTTGTCAGTTATTGAAGGTAGTCATGGATTGATATAAGTAGCAGCTCATTTTGTTCATTATAATATCATGTTCTTTGGATTTATCCTGAGTAAGGTAAAGGTAAGGTAAAGGCCCTCCCGTTGATCGTCGATTTGCTCGAGCGGGCCCAGTAACGTCTCCATTGGAGACTTTGTTGTTACTGTGTCTGGCATATCGAATACTCTCGGTAGCTTGCCGGGCTCTCCGAGAGGGGCGGAGGAATCGAACTCGGGTCGGCCATGTTGGCCGCTTGTAAGGTGAACGCCCTACCCGCTGTGCTATAGGGGTTTGGGGGTTGGGAGACACACCTGGCTCTATTCAGGAATTCCTTCTGGGGTTGCTGGGGTGACCATCTATGGTGCCAAGGATCAACCTAGAGTCAGTCGCATGCAGGGCAAGAACCTTAAGTCAAGTACCAGCCCTCCAGCCCTTAATGTAGATTTTGTTTGTTTGGTTTAGGGACCATGCTGGCAATGCTTAGGGGTTCCTCCTGGCTCTACACTAAGGAATCACTCTGGTAGTGCTGAGGGGACCATAGGGGGTGCCAGGGATTGAACTTTGGTCAACTGCATGCAAGGCAAGGCCTTACCTGCTGTACTATCATCACTTTGGACCTTAATACATATTTTTAACGTAGTGAATATGTCATGTACTTAGTGATTAACTTCTAAATTTTTATCTGGTTGTTTTAGTAGTAAACATTTATTAATTCTTCTATTAAGTCATCAATGATACTGAGGTCATCAGATGCCAATATTTTTTTTCCCTTTCTTTTACAGATGAGCCAACTAGCCCCAGCATTGATCATGATCTCGCCCACATCCCTGCTTCAGCTGTCATCTCGGCCTCCACCTGCCACGTGGCCTCTATCGCGACTCTTCCTCCCAGCCTCACCACTTCCGCTCCTCTGATTCGACGCCAGCTCTCCCATGATCAGGGTACATATCTGCAGGTGGTTTCACAGAGCAGCTCTCAGGGAGCGTGCGAGCTTAAACAACAGGACACGCTCTCATCCTCTCACCAGTCAAAGGATCTGGAAACCCTTTGTAAATGTTGACTTTTAATTCCAGAATCTGTTGGACCCCCCAGCCTGGATGGCCAGCCCAGCTCCAAGACAGAACGATCAAAATCATATGATGAAGGCCTGGATGATTACAGAGAAGACGCAAAATTGTAAGTCTCGGTCCTCTTGTTTCAAACATAAGTTTGTGGCTGATAAGCTTAATTTTGAAGCATAAGGAAGTGCTGAACTTAATGATGTCTTTTCTGTTTTCTGACTTGTTCCTTGGTATAATACATTCCTTGCATTTAAAAAGATGAATATTTTAAAAATCAGTAGTACACAAAAATAACTGTTTTTTATAAGCCTATGGTAAATGGTATTTCTGTAGCCCTATTTGTAGACAGTTCACTTAGCACATATGAATTTCACTGAAAAATGAATTTCAGGCTAGAAGGGTAGCCTGATTTGACCACAGGCTTTGCTTGTGAGATGCTTGGGTTAAAGCCATGGCACCACATGATCCTGAGCAGAGAGCCAGGGGTAGTCCTAGGATGGGAGGAGGGAGGGAGGGAAAGAAGGAGGAGGGAAGGAAGACAAATTGCTGCATCAAGAATTATTTCATGGTTTTTCTGTCACTTGCTCTCCACAAACTAATTGCATTCCTACCAACGGGGCCTCTGCTGCCCCCTCCTGACATAGTGTGGTACTTAACTTTAGATTTTGGTGAATCTAATGAGTGTCAGTGGTATCATTGTTTTGCAGTTTTCTTGTTAATTGATCTTCATTTTCTATATGCTTAAGATACTTATTTCTTTTTTGTTAACTGTGTCTTCATATACTTTGCACATTTTCCTACTAGATTTTCTGTTGACTTCTGAGAGTAAGAAAAATAGTTCTTTCTGCAATAAGCGTACCAAGTCTTCTTTTCATCCTAAATTTTTTTTAATGTGATTTTCTATTTTCTAGTCACAGAAAGACATTAATCTTATATTTGTGCATTTGGGAAAATTTAAGGATTCTCTTACGGCTTCAGGATTTTGAGTCACATTGGAAAAATCTTCCCTTCAGAATAGCAGTAAAATCCTTCCATGTTTACTTGGTGAATGTGTATAATTTTATTTTACTTTGAATTCATTTAGAGTTTCTTCTGATTAGTGTGATAAATAGTCCACTTGAGATTTTCCAGTATCTCTCCATTGGACTGTTCTATTTAGTATTCTAATTATCCACATACAATGTTATGATAGTGGTTTTTTAGTGTTTTTACATTTGGTAAAGGTAATCTCTTTCATTAATTTTTGGGGTGTTTTGAGAATTCTCATTGTATTTAATTATCCTACATTTTGGAACTTAAAATTTAGTACCTAATACTTAAATTCTTTTGCCCATTTTCATTGACACAATGTTTAGGGAATATTGACATTGTCAGTATATATTGGGCTTTCCTTCAAAGAATGGTTATTTGTCTTTTTTGTTACAGTTTTTTTTTTTCCCTTGGCTTTTTGGATCACACCTGGTGATGCACAGGGGTTACTCCTAGCTTTGCACTCAGGAATTATTCCTGGCGGTGCTCAGGGGACCATATAGGATGTTGGGAATCAAACCCGGGTCGGCTGCATGCAAGGCAAACTCCCTACCTGCTGTACTATTGCTCCAGCCCCTACAGTATTTTTTAAACTAGACGTTTTAAAGTCTTCCCATTGGCTTTTCCATTCTGATGAAATAAGTTCTTTCTGTACCAGCTCTTTAAGGCAACAGGCTATAAGGAGTGAGGTGCAAGGTGTGGCCAAGGCACTGGCCTAAGGTAGTGGGAATTTCTCCTTTTAACTTTGACTTTACCTCCCTAAAAGATGCCGTTCACCACACTGGGAGTGTCCTTCCCCCTGCACCAGCTACACAGGTTCTGCTTTGCCTCTGCTGCACTCACCTCCCCTGATACTTGGAGGTGATGATGGAGGTGCCTGTCACTGGCCATGGCTCCCTGTCTCCTGTTGTTTCAAAAGTTGTTATCACTCTGTCAGGTGGACAGTGGGGTGCAGTTTTATGTGACGTGTGCAGCCGTGGGGTTCCTCTCTTCCTGTCTCCGTCATGTAACTTCATTGCTCTCACCACCCTTCTTTGTCTATCCTCTGGCAGAGTTACGGCTCTCTCCTGATGACTTTTGGAGACTGGGTTTGCATAGCATTTCCGGCGACTGTGTTTGGAATGGTTTCTGAAAGAGGGACGACTATGCCCTCTTCAGTCAAACTTCAGAATCCTTAAGATTCCTAAAATAAATTTGGACTAAAACTATAGCCAGAAAAAGCACATTTTCCTTCTAGAGTTGAATGATTTTGAATAATGAATGTGAACCCAGAGCCCTAAACATTTCCAGGAACAGCAGTTGTCATTCTCCCTGAGAATGTGCTTGGCGGGGTGCATGGTTTCCCATATCCAGCCCCTTCAGTGCTCCTTGGACACATTTATGGTTCATTGTCCACAAGTTGAATTGGGTAGATGTGGTGTTCTGGTATTCACTGTACCTCTGGCTTGTATAGATATATCTTTGCTCCTTTTGTTTTTTCTGGGGTGGGGTGGGGTGGGATTTGGACTACAGCTGGCGGTGCTGAGGAGTTTCTCCTGGTTCAGTGTATTGGGTCACACTTGTCAGTGTGGTGTCAGGGGTTAAATCTGATCTCCTGCATACAAAGCATGTGCTCCAACTCTTTGTCACTCATAACTGTTGAAGTAACTACAAGTATGGTTAACTAAAAATACAAGTTTGAGACTTGGATTAACAAATAAGACAAAGTTAGCTGTCTAGATTTCTCTTTGTTCTATCAAAAAGGATTAAAAAATACTCTAATGTTATGCAAGATATATTTGTATTTAATTTTAAACATTTACTTGGGAGGAAGGGGCTTAGGTCACACCTGACTGTGTTCAGGAATCACTCCTGGAGGTACTCAGAGGACCACATGCAGTGCCACAGATTGAACTGACCGTGTGCGAGGCGGGTGCCTTACTTCCTGTACATTCTCTCACCCTGCAAAAAAATATTTTTCATTGATCAAGTCACTAACTAGGAAGCGTCTCACAGAATCCAAAGTTCTTAAGTACTTGCCAAGTTAGCTGTTTTTTTCTGACTTCCATTAGACAGTGAACATTTTATCATGGAGATGCTGAAATGTCAGCTCATTAGTGCAAATTTGTTAGAGCATTTTGTACAGTATTAAAGATATTTACGTACTTCTTTTCCAACAGGGCCTTTAAGCACGTGTCTAGCCTGAAGGGGATCAAGGTTGGTATATATACATATACCTATATAAATTCTTTATCTTCTCCTCCCCTCCGCCCCCACACACCTGTGCTGCCTCCCCCAGTAAGATACATGCTCTGCTACTGAGCAACATCCCCAACCCTGGATTCAATATTCTTAAAAAATCAAGCAAGTTTTTATTACTTTTGTTTACCTTAGTTTATTTCTTTACTGATCTTTCAAAGATTTTTATATTTAAGTATAACCTTACTGTTTCAAGTGCATCTGGAAGATATTCCTTATAAACTTATGATTTTAGAACATATCTATCTGGTAGATCAGCTGGAATGTGCTTTGTTTCACCACATCAATTTATGGCAGAGCTCTTCACTGCCCAGCAGTCCTCGTGTTTTATTGTATTTGTGGTTCTACTTTAGAATTGTTACTTCTTGCCTTCTGCATAGACCACCCTATCTCCCACAGCCTGTCTTTTCCATTCTTCCCTCAGACTTTGAAAGAAGTAGACACAGTGGCAGGAATTTTCCTTCTTTTTCCATCGCCTGCAATACTATGCAATACAGCCGCAGGTACTATGCCCACGCTTCCTGCCTTCCTGACTCCCATCTTAAGTATTTTCGCATTGGACCATTTGCGTGTTCAAAGCAGCCACGTTCTTCTTCCCATTCCATCAGCTCTCACTTTCTCAAGTCTCTCTCTTCAGTGACGCAGTGATTGTCCCATATGAGCAAGTTCAACTATTTCCTTTATTTATTTATTTATTTTAAATGCTCTCAGCTCCACAGCCCTCTTAGTTTACAACTCCTATTTCTCTCCCACTTTTCCTGAAAACGCCTTGAAATAACTTGTCCACAGCCCCCACTTTCATCCATCACGTCTTTCTCGACAGGCTCACAGCAGAGTGGCTTTACTCAGGCCAAAGAACCCTGACATCCTGCTCCAAAACAACTAGCTACTTCCCTTTTAACTCATTTGACCTTTACAGTTGTGTTCAACATAATTTCCCTCTCCTTTCCTGAAGCATTTTTTCTGCTAGCAACTTTAATTGCCTCTGTTTGACAGTCAAAATGTTGAAAGTTCTGGCACTAGCAGCATCATATCCTGAGGCCTTTGCACTGACCTGCCTGCTGGGCCAGGAATCACAGCGGGAGGGGTGGGGGGGGTGAGGGGGTGGAGGGGAGAGACTGGACACTGGTTCTCCTGAGCACTAACTGAGAGCCCCAAAGTCAGTTCACTGTCAAAACGCCCAAAGCAGATTCTCATCCGTCTTATCTGCTCTCGTGTCCTTGGTGGTCTTATCCAGATGCCTCCCCCAATTTGCATTGCTAGCCTTGACGTATGATGGTTATATAAGAATCTCATTTAAATATCTAATAATCAAGGATGTTTGGTTGCCAGAGGTTCACTGCCCACCCCCCACCCCGTCATTCCCATCTAAGTTCCTTTCCGTCCATCCAGTTGTTGAGCCCCAAATCTTGGAATTCATCTGTCTTCTTCTCACCTTCCCCAGGTCAAGAACATACCTTAAGGTTTCCTTTCCCTCCCTATCTGCACTGACACTTTTTTCCATTCCATGTCATCACCCCACCCTTCCTCCATGAGGCGCTCTTTCAGGGCTGGCCCTGCAGAGTCCACTCCCTAGCAGCTAGCAAGGGTAAGGGTACTCCTGACTCACCACTTAATTTTTAAGTTTTCTTAGAGAGAGCTGGCCTCAGGGGCACCAGTTTATTGCTGCTGCTCACGCTTTCATTATTGCATCTCACAGTTGACATTCTCCACACGGTATTCACTACTGTCTGATCATATCCTTGTTTTTTCAAAATTTATCATTTCTCCTTTTCCACTAAAATGTGAGCTCCTGAGAGCAGGAAGATGACCCCTTTTGATAGTTAGGGTTTTATTTAAGTTAAGCTTTTCCTTTAGGTCACTAAAAAAAGTGCCGTTGATAGTTACTTTCTCATTCTCTCTTGCTCTCACTCTGTCTACCCCAGTACCTCTGTTTTTTAAATAAGACCAGAGAATTTCTTAACGTCACTTATAAAGTTAGGATTTTTCAGAACTAGCTTTCACTTAGGATATTTAAGAAGGCTCCTCACCCCCCACCCCACCCTTGCAAAGCAATTTTAACATACAAATATTTATAAAAGAAAAGGTTCCCATTGTCTTGTTTTCTTGGCTTGCCCATAGATCACCGATAGCCAGAAATCATCCGAAGACTCTGGGTCCAGAAAAGATTCTTCCTCTGAAGTTTTCAGTGATGCAGCCAAAGAAGGTTGGCTCCACTTCCGGCCCCTGGTCACTGAGAAGGGCAAGGTAGGAAGGGTGCGGCCAGAAAACTGTGGCATATCCAGAAGCAAAAAGAAAGAGCATTGATTTGTTGGTTTTTGTTTTTCAATTTTGGGACTATTTTTGTGCATTATTATTTAAACTACTTTCTTATATAAAGGAAAGATCTTTTGTCCAGAAATTCTGATCACAGACTTAATTTAATATTTTTATTTATCCTGTGTATCAACTGGGAGGCATTACGTATTTGAGCAATTAGCACAGAAATCAAAGTATTTCCAAAAGAACTTGCTTTTCTTATTGTTATTTGGGCAGAGATTTTCACCTCTATGAAATAAGCAGAGATTATTACTTTTAGGAAAAATAGCAATTTTCAGTATCAGCGATTAAAAATTTAAATTTTGGATTTCCCAGTTAAGTCTTTTAAATTGTCTTTTATAAGGGCTAGAGCAATAGCACAGCAATAGGGCGTTTGCCTTGCATGCGGCCGGCCCAGCTGAGCTGGGTTCGATTTCTCCGCAATTCCTCTGCCCCTCTCAGAGAGCCTGGCAAGCTACCAAGAGTATCTCGCCCACACGGCAAAGCCTGGCAAGCTACCCGTGAAATACTCAATATGCCAAACACAGTAATAACGAGTCTCACAATGGAGATGTTACTGGGCCCGCTTGAGCAAATCGATGAACAGCGGGAGGACAGTGCTACAGTGCTACAGTGTTACTTTATAAATAGTTATGCAACTGAATATTAATTGCCAATTGATATTCTATATAAAGCATCAATTCAATTGAATAACAGTTGAATTATTTGTGTTTCATTAAGTAGACTTAAGTGCAGTAAGAACTTTGCTATAAAATTTTCCTGTACTATTTGGGTAGCTTATTTTAAAACCTTCAGGGACCAGAGAAATTCTACAGGAGTTTAGTTACATGCGACCAACCCTGCTTTGATCCCTGGTACCACATAAGGTCCATTGGGTGCCTCCAGGAGTAGCCCTGGACCAGTTTTGGGCATGGCCCAAAACCCCTTCACGCGTCCCTGCTCCCTTGCCAATGTCAGTACTCCCAGAATGTTGCCTAACTTGAGTTTATGCCCCACAATTTCTCCCCCTTCTCTCCCAACATATATACATGTGTGTTTATACATGTAATACATGTAGTACTGTAGCACTGTCCTCCCATTGTTCGTCAATTTGCTTGAGTGGGCCCAGTAAGGTCTCCATTGTGAGACTTCTTGTTACTGGTTTTTGGCATACCAAATACGCCACGGGGAGCTCGCCAGGCTCTGCTGTGCAGGGAGAATACTCTTGGTAGCTTGCCGGGCTCTCCAGGAGGGATGGAGGAGTTGAACTTGGGTCAGCCACATGCAAGGTAAATGCCCTACCTGCTGTGCTATCGCTGCAGCCCATATGTAATATATATCACAGTCCTCCCGTTGTTCATCAATTTGCTCGAGCGGGCCCAGTAACGTCTCCATCATGAGACTTGTTGTTACTGTGTTTGGCATATCGAATACGTCATGGGGAGCTTGCCAGGCTCTGCCGTGCGGGCGAGATACTCTCGGTAGCTTGCCGGGCTCTCCGAGAGGGGCGGAGGAATCGAACTCGGGTCGGCCATGTTGGCCGCTTGTAAGGCAAACGCCCTACTGCTGTGCTATCGCTCTCTAGCCCATGTAACATATATATAATAATTATATATTTAATGTAAATCAGACAGATCTCTATTGGGTATACACTATGTACATTAAACATGTTGTTTAATGTGCTTATCAGAAATACTTAGTCAGAATTTAATTTAATACTCCTGAATGGTTTCATGTTTTCCAGCGAGTTGGTGGAAGCATTCGGCCATGGAAACAGATGTATGTTGTGCTTCGGGGCCACTCACTTTACTTGTACAAGGATAAACGAGAACAGATGACGCCCTCAGAAGAAGAACAGCCCATCAGTGTTAATGCTTGCTTAATAGACATCTCTTATAGCGATACCAAGAGGAAAAATGTGTTTCGGCTGACCACATCCGACTGTGAATGCTTATTTCAGGCTGAAGACAGAGATGATATGTTGGCATGGATCAAGACCATCCAGGAGAGCAGCACCCTAAATGAGGAAGTATGTCCAGAACACTGCACAGGCGCCCGCACCCCTTGCATCATGTTTCTGTTTGGGGGTGTTTATTTTTATTTTTTGGAGGGGGAGCTTGTTTGTTTTGTTTTGTTTGGGGAACTACACTCAACTGTGTTCAGGGCTAACTTCTGGCTCTGAACTCAGGAATCACTTGTGGCGGGGCTCCAGGGACATCATTACCATGCCAGGGAGCTGACCTGGCTTGGCCACATGCAAGGCAAGCGCCTTACCTGTTGTCCTCTCACCAGCCCTCACAGTGCGTTTCTTAAGAAGACCTAAAGAAACAGATCACTTCTTTAGAAATTCAAAATAAGTGGGCTGGAGAGAGAGTGCATAAGGTGCTGCTTTGCATGTGACTCACCCCGGTTCAGTCCTCAGCACCACATGTAGTAGCCCTGCCACCAGTAACTCTTGTGCTCAAGAGTTGTGACCCCAAAACAAAACAAACTAAAAAAAATACAAATAAGCTGTTTGCCCTCTGAACTACATCCCAGGCTACTGCTGTCTGTGTTTATGTTTTGTTTTGGTTTGACTAAGTGACAACAACAAAAAAACTAGAATATATATTTTATGTGTGTGTATTTAAAACATTTTTCGTCTCTTAGTTTCCCCCACCATCTGAAAGTGGGATTTTTTTTTATTAAATATGACTTAATTTGTGGGTCTCAGCACACTCATAAATTAATTTTTTCCAAATTTGATTTATGATAATAGCATTTCCAGAATTCCAAAATAGTCAACCAATTTACTATCAAGTTAGGACATCCAACTTTTGGGGGTGGAGAAAGCCTGTTGCTGAGACAGCCCTGCAAGTGCATTAGTAGCCCCACTTGGTAGGTGAGGCTTGGGAGGTTTAGTTACTCGCTTAAGTGACTCATCCTGGATTCAAACCCAGACTACCTGGCTCATGAGGCTGAGGACTTGGCACAGTGCTGTTCATCCAGTGTGATGGCAACTCCCTGCCAGCCACTGCTCTCTGCCTCCAGAATGTGCTTCCGCCACGAAGCCTGGCATTAATAGGTACTGAGTAAATATAAGTCAGTGGGGAAAGAAAAAGGGAAATGACCGTTGCTAAGCAGAGCAGCAGTTTCTTTGGTACCTTCCCCAAAGCGGTGAAGGTCTGGTTGCATAGTCCTTTCATTACCTTTATGCCGAAGTAATTCCAGATTTACTACCTCCTCTTAGAAACAGAAATGTTGGGGGCTTCAGGTATAGTGAAAATGCTTATCAAAACAAATGACTGTGTAAGTGCAAAGAGTAGTTGATATTATGGTTTGGGGTAATGGAATTATACAGGCAAGAACATAATACAGCTTATTGTGATATAATAATAGACTTCTAAGAAAACCTGCATTAGCAAATCTTACTATTAGTAGTTTTTCTCCTAATGAAGGTGAATTTTTAGCAACTTGAGCATTTCTGGCTCTCAACCATCAAGATATTTTTACACAAAGGAATTTCATTAGGTAAGGTAGTTCCTTTAAGTGTACATACTTGACTATATACTGTACAAATTCAACAATGAAGTCTAGCTTTTTTGTTCAAGAGAACCTTTTTTTATACCATTACGTTTTTCTAATGTGTTATTTTACTTTTTTTTGCCCAGTATTGTAATCCTCACCCTACCAACACACACATACACACACACACAACCACTATGATCTTTTCCCCTTTAGAAAGCAGGAGGTAACTTACATTCCCTGCTCACTTCCACTATAGCCAAATTGTGAAAACTTGTACCATAGGGAAAAAATGTTTGCACCATTTTTTCCTCTGATCCTTTCTCCTTTACCTTGACTGTGGTTAAAAATTAACATCAGATCTTTATCTATACAACCTTTGTTTTACAACCACCCTGTAAAGAGAGCGTGAGACTTTTTGCAATGTAAACAGGGTGAACAAGGACTTGAATATAGATTTTAGCTCTAAGGAACAAGGAACGGGTCAAGGGAATATGTATTTAATAAACACCTAAGGAGGTCAAGTATTCCACGAGTCAGTAGAGTGTCGCTTTTTAAAATTCCTTCAGATGACTTCATCTGTGAACTGTGGCTATTTTAAGGATGGAATGAGATAATGCCTTTGAAGAATGCAGCATAGTATGTGGACAGTAACCATTTACTTTATGTGAACCATTATCTCATCATAATCACCATCATCATCTAATCTTAAGACACAGGTAGTTTTCCCCCAGCGTTATAGATTAGATTATAATAATTGGCTGAACATAGAGCATATGGCAGGCAGTATTTTCAGCTGTTTTCATGAATTATCTCAGCAACTATAGGAATGCATCCTATTATTATCATCAGCATTTTACAAATAAGGAGACCAGGTGACAAAGAGAGATTAAGGAATTTCCACCCACGGTTACCTAGCTGATAGATATTATGGCTAGAATGTAAATGCAGGCAATCTTAAATCTAAACCTAAAATTTGGAGTTTAACATATGATTGCTTAACTAGTAAGTGGGGGAGGATCCAGTTGAATTTAAAGAATGACCAAAGTCTGTATTTATAAAGTACAGTGTTATTCATTATAGTAAAAAGAAAATGAATAAAACACATATAGTAAGCACACATGTAAGCGTATGATTGAAATCAGTAAGAAAAAAAATGATCACAGTGGTGAACTCTCAAATTTGCTATATAGCACATTATAAAAGTTAAACTATTTGACTAGAGGGATCGGACAGGGTTGAGTGTTTTTATTGCATAAGACTGACCCCCGTTTGAGCCCTAACCCAGGGGTTAGCCCTGAGCATCATTTGTTGTAGTCCAAATTTCCCCACTTCCGAACAGTTACCCACTCCCCCACTGCCAATTAAAAAAAAATTGAGGTTTAATAAAACTGAGTTTTGGGCTGGAGCAATAGCTCAGAGGACGGAGCGCATGCTTTGTATTTGGGAACTTCACATTTGATCCCCAGCACCAAACTCACAGCACCAAGCTTGGTGGAGGCTGAACATGCCAGTTGCAGCTTCAAACATGCGGACAAAATGTTTTGAGCTTTCCTCTCTTTCTAACTTATCGCTTCTGATATTAATTGTGCCTTGATCGCACAGCCCCTGTAAATTAATCATTAACAAATCATAGCAGCATTTTGTTCAACATCTTTCAAATGCTGATTGTTCTTTCAAGAGGAAAAGAAAACCGCCTCTCTGCTTCCTGTCCGTTTATTAAAATCAACAGATCAATATGTTCAAGCATTTTCTCCCAGCTGGCACTGTTTTCGGGCCTGTAGGGGGAGGAGAATAATCAGAGAATAAGCTCCATGGCGTGATGAAGTCGAGGTCACCTGTTTGTGTTTCGAGCTGCCTCTCCAATTTCACCTGTTTATTTTATAGGACACTGGAGTGACAAACAGGGATCTCATTAGTCGAAGAATCAAAGAATACAACAGTCTGATGAGGTGAGACTCCCGCCAGCCACACCTTCAGGTCCCTTTACTTGTAAAAGAGGGCATGGCTAAGAAGGGCTCGTTTCTTTCAACAGCAAAGCAGAACAGTTGCCAAAAACACCTCGTCAGAGTCTCAGCATCCGGCAGACTTTGCTTGGTACGAAATCGGAGCCAAAGACACAGAGCCCACACTCCCCCAAGGAGGAGTCAGAGAGGAAACTTCTCAGTAAAGGTACCCGTGATGGTTTCATGGATGGATTTAATCGATCACAATCACGATCATCCTGTTGTTCGTCGATTGCCTCGAGGAGGCACCAGTAATGTCCCCTTCGTCCTAGCCCTGAGATTTTAAAGGGCCATATTCAAGGCTCTTTCAGAGTTAGGAGAATGAGACCCATCATTGTTACTGGTATTTGGCATATTGGGTACACCACGGGGAGTTTGCCAGACTCTGCCATGTAGGCAGGTTACATTCGGTAGCCTGCCAGTTTGTCCAAAAGTAAGAAAGATAATACGATGTTAGAAGAACACTTCCAGGAGCTGGGTTTTGTAGTCTCTGGGTCTTGGCCATTGATGGGATTACACGGCGCCAGGGGGTCAGTTGGTGGGTGTGACCCCTGCCTACTGGAATATGGAGGATCTGGGTGGAGGATGCTCAGCCCCGATTTGAGCAGGCTTGGAGATCTCAGCCCTGGGACCTGCATGCCTTTGTTCCTCTGCCAGTACCTTCATGCGTGTGGAGAGTGGTCTCAGCATGGTTGTGACTGGTTCTGGAGGTCTTCGGCTGCCAGAGCTCTGGTTGGGGCGGGGAGGGAAACTCAACACCCACCCCCACCCCACCCCCACCCCGCCAAAGGGGCCCTGGCGAGGACAGCCAGGCATGGGAGCAGGAGACTCTGCACTGCTCTCTTGCGGGAGCTGGGTTTTGTAGTCTCTGGGTCTTGGCCGTTGATGGGATTGCATGACGCCAGGGGGTCAGTTGGTGGGTGTGACCCCTGCCTACTGGAAGATGGTGGATCTGGGAGGAGGATGCTCAGCCCCGATCCGAGCAGGCTCGGATTTAATCTATTCCTTGATTTTTAAATGGATACTTAATTTTGACACACTGCTCAGGAGTCACTCCCGGAGGTACTCAGAAAGCCATATTCAGTGCTACAAGTGGAATTAGTCTCAGCAGCATGCAAGTCTTGTTATGTTTCTCGAGCCCTTAAGTGGAGATAGAAAAAGCTTTTTGATGCTTTTTGTTTTGTTTTGTTTGGGGGCCACATCAGGCGCTGCTCAGGGCTTCCTCCTGGCTCTGTGATCAGGGGTCACCCTTGGTGGTGCTGGGGGACCCTCTGGCATCCTGGGGATCAAACCCAGATTGGTGACAAGGCAAGCACCCTGCCCACGGTCTTATCCCTCCTGCCTTTTGATGCATTTCTGGACTGCATTTCTGATGATCTGCACCCAGTGCTTGCCAGCTCAGGGATCGCTGACCTAGACCCCACCTCCTTAAACTAGGGCTCAAGGCCTCTGATAGGGTTTTGTAACTCAGTGCTGGGCTCTGAAAATATTTAGCAGCAGTAAGGTTTCTGACCCCACAATCACCAACAAGTAATTCAAAAGTAACCATATCAAGAATCTGAGGAACTTCTGGCCACTAGCCCAATGTTGCATTTCTGAGGAGAAAAGCCATGGCAGGTGGGAAAAAAAATTTAAGAAGGCTTGGTTGTGTTGAGGGGGCTTCCCTTATGGGGAAATCCAAGATAACAGTTCTTATAATAAAGGGAGTGTGAAGAAAATACAACACTAACGTCATACGAAGTGCTTCGGATTTAACTCTGGCAACCCAGGTGTTATTTTGAGATGAAAACCATTTTATTTACTTTTGGTAAAAATCTCACTAAGAAGATGACACTATTTTACCATTTTTAAGAAAATTATGATACAGTGTTGGGGAGATCATTCATACGACATGTTGGCTGGAGCATGTGGGTCCCCTGGGTTTAATCCCAGGCACCTCGTGACCTCTGCAGCACAGCAGGACATGGTGGTCTCCAGCACCAGGGAGAGGCCAATAAAGACCCAGTTTGTGAAAAAGTACAGACTGAGAAAGGGAAGATGTACAGGTAATACTTAGTAAAAGAAAGGTTGTAAGGAGCTCTTTATTAAAGACTATAATACATTATTTGGAACTAATGCATTTTATAGTACAGAACCCCCATTTATATAAATACTGATAAAGCGTTTTTGTTTTTAAGTTATGATTTAAATATGCTTGTTTCCCTTTTGTATCTTTTCTCATTTTATTTTGAATACTAATCAAAAGATGATACCAGTCCCCCGAAAGACAAAGGCACATGGAGAAAAGGCATCCCAAGTATTATGAGGAAGACGTTTGAGAAAAAGCCTACAGCGACAGGAACATTCGGTGTCAGGCTGGACGATTGCCCGCCAGCACACACCAACCGGGTAGGAGCCTCTGCCGGCCGAATCCCTGAGTCCCTGACGTGCGTGTCATCGTGGCGTTCTCCTTGCACTGTGGTTTCCTCCTTTCAGCAAATCATCGTGGCCCTATGCATTTTCAGCCTGGAGGGTTGTGTTGAATGATTTGATATATAATGATTTTTTTCTAGTGCATTGACTCTGAAGCAGAAGGTTGAACCATTAGGAAAGAATGTGAAATGTATCTGAAATGGTTATTAAGACTTCATCTTCTAATGTGTTTCTGATTTTAGAATCTTAAAAGGAGGATGAGAACAAGGATCTTATTAAGAAAGTATAATTGTAAATGAGCGTGTGTGTGTGTGTGTGTGTGTGTGTGTGTATGTGTGCGCATGTGACCCATTAAGCATTTATTTTATGAGTTGATTGATGTTATTCCCCGCCCCTTCTTTTTTGTGGTTCTGTCCTCTTTACTCCACTGGGCTGCTCTCCTCTTTACCTCCTCCTGTTTCCTCTTAAGCCGATATTTCCCTGCGGTCTCTTTCCTTTCTGTCTTGGCCTATTCATTCCCTTTTTGCTACCTCACTATCTCTTGCTAGCTTTATCCATGCCCAGTTCTGCATCTCTACAGTGTTTAGTTTCTCTTTATTAAATAACAGCTATAAATAAGTAGCTGTTATTTATCAATAAATAACAGCTATTTATTTAATAACAGCTAGATAATAAATCAACAGATTTCCTGTTGATTCAAATGGTCTTTTTAAGCTGTGATACACATCTGCAAACTAAATATAAACCTTTTAGTGGTATTGAGTAAAAGTGTTTGTTTCTTGTTTTGCAGTATATTCCGTTAATAGTTGACATATGTTGCAAATTAGTTGAAGAAAGAGGTCTTGAATATACAGGTATTTACAGAGTTCCTGGAAATAATGCAGCCATCTCAAGTATGCAGGAAGAACTCAACAAGGGAATGGCTGATATCGATATACAAGATGATGTAAGTTTATTTCTATGTGAATAACTAACGCATGTTTTGTTCTTTCATGGTATGGACTATAAAAATACTGTGTTTGTGTTTTGCGTACATAGAAATGGCGAGATTTGAATGTGATAAGCAGTTTACTAAAATCCTTCTTCAGAAAACTCCCTGAACCTCTCTTCACAAATGGTGAGTTGACTGCGTAGTAGACCCAGATGAAAGGGTGCAGAATTGTAGAGCTGAAAGCCAGAGAATATTAAATGGAAGCAGGAGGAAATGTCTTTGAGGAGAGAAGCAAAAATTTGTTTAGTTACTATTTATATACAAAATATAATTGGGTCCTTTTTAAAAATCATTTAGTTTTTTTATTGATAAATACCAATGATTATAAGAAGGTATTCAGGTTTAGTAAAATAGATACTGCCCTGTTTACCCAAGTTTCCTGTCAAGTTAAAATATATTGTTTGGGAAGTGGGGAGTGGGTTGGGGTGTAGCAGGCAATGGTGAAAGATACAATGGGCTGGAGCTCATGCTTGGATTTTACCAGCTCTAGGCTCAGTCGCTAATCCCTCAAGGTTCCCATAGCACTGCCAAGTATGACTCCGAGCACCTACCTAAAATAGCTCCTGACACCTCCACCTGTGACCCCCAAAACACACAAAAATGTATTGTTTGGGGGCTGAAGTGATAGCACAGCGGGTAGGGTGTTTGCCTTGCACGCGGCTGACCCGGGTTCGATTCCCAGCATCCCATATGGTCCCTAGAGCATCACCAGGTGTGACCCCAAAGGAAAAAAAAGCCCACTCACATTTATGTTTTGTGTTTGACCTGTGAGAAGCTACCTGGTTTGAGTTTTTGTATGGGTTTTTGTACCGTTTAGTTGGATGAGGCTCTTAACAATAGAGAACATGCCTTGGATGTGTAAAGCCCTGGATTGAATCTGTGGCAATGCACATGAAAAAGCCTGCTTGTGTTTGCTTTCATTTAACAAGTGTTTAGATATGCATCATGGGGTTCATTTAGCAGGAAAACATTTTTCAGCCAAACTAGATATTCAGGTGTTCTGTAAGACCCTATACTATATTTTGAGAGGTAGGGGAGATGGGGAGGAAAACAATGTAGAATAGTATTCTCAGAAAAATCGCATTTTAAGCAATGTTCTGTTTGTTAATGAAATGCATGAGTATTTTAAAACTGCAGCAGTGTTAGGGATATAGACTCAACAATTGAGGTGAGTTTGTGATATTGCTCCTTATTATTGTCAGATAAATATGCTGATTTCATTGAAGCCAATCGGAAGGAAGACCCTCTGGACCGTCTGAGAACATTGAAGAGACTAGTAGGTATTATTTTTTAAATTTCTGGAGGTGCAATTAAATTCAGCATATAAACCTGTCATGAAAATAATATGTTTCAGATCCATGATTTGCCTGAACATCATTATGAAACCCTTAAATTTCTTTCGGCTCATCTGAAGACAGTAGCAGAAAATTCTGAAAAAAATAAGGTATGTAAAGTTCATATTGAAATGTCTTTTAAGCAGTCTTAGTTGACAAAGGTAACCTTCGTGATTTTATGCCAAATAGTCAAAAACAGTTCAATTCAGCAGTTAAATTCAAAAGTTTTAGCATGCATCATATTAGCTCACCAGACCCTCTGACAGTCATTCTCTCTGTCTCTCTCCTCTCTCCCTCTCTCTCCCTCTCCCTCCCTCTCTTTACCTCTGTTTTCTTTTCTCTCTCTCTCTCTCTCTCTCTCTCTCTCTCTCTCTCTCTCTCTCCCCCCCTCTCCTTCCCCCCTCTCTCTCCCTCTCCCTCTTCCCCTCCCCTTCCCTGTCTCCCCAGCATTGCTCAGGGGTTATTCCTGGCTCTGCATTCAGGAATCATTCCTGGCAGTGCTTGAGGGACCATGTGGGATGCGATGTCAGGAATCAAATTGGTGTGTGGGGGCTGGAGCGATAGTACAGTGGGTAGGGTGTTTGCCTTGCACGCAGACAACCCAGTTTCGATTCCCAGTGTCCCATATGGTCCCCTAAGCACTGCTAGGCGTAATTCCTGAGTGCAGAGCCAGGAGTAACCCCTGAGCGTTACAAGGTGTGACCCAAAAAGCCAAAACACAAAAACCAAATCAGAGTGTGCTGTGTGCAGAGCAAGCACCCTTCCCGATGTACTATTTTTCAGGCCCTGACAGGCACTCTTAAAAGTAAAAGATACCAAAACATTTAAGTGTCGCTATTTTAAAAAGACATATCCAGGACCAGAGAGACCATAGTACATCAGGTAAAGCTCTTCCTTGCACACTCCAGACCTGGTTTGGTCCCCAGAGCCCTGCTAGGAGTGGTCCCTGAGCACAGCCTGAGTGTGCCGTGCTGGATGTGGCCTCAAAACAAAAAAAATATTTTCAGGCAGGAGAGGTGGCTCAGAGGGCTGGGCACATGCTTTGCATGCCAAGAGTCAGGGTCAGGTCCCTGGCACCATGTGACTCCCCAAGCATCACCACCTCAAAACACACACCCCCAGGAAAAACATTTAAATTAATGTTTTTAACAATAACAACAACAACAACAAAAATGGAAAAGATTGAAATTTTCTTTATTTTTCAAATACGTAACATTGTTTGTGTTTTTGTTACGTTTTTTGTTTGTTTGTTTGTTTTTTGTTTTGCTTTTTGAGTGTCATACCTGGTGCTGCATAGGGGTTACTCCTGGTTCTGCACTCAGGAATTACTCCTTGTGGTGCTCGGACCATATGGGATGCTGGGAATCGAACCCGGGTCAGCTGACTGGGTCAGCTGAGTGCTAGGCAAATGCCCTATCTCCTGTGCTATCACTCCAGCCCCTGTAATATTGTTTTGAATAAATAGCACTGTAGCACTGTCCTCCCATTGTTCATCGATTTGCTCGAGCAGGCCCGGTAACTCCTCCATTTGCTCGAGCGGGCCCAGTAATGTCTCTTGGAGACGTTGTTGTTACTGTGTCTGGCATATCGAATACGTCACGGGGAGCTTGCCAGGCTCTGCCGTGCGGGCGAGATACTCTCGGTAGCTTGCCGGATTCTCCGAGAGGGGCGGAGGAATCGAACTCGGATCGGCCATGTTGACTGCATTGTTACTGTGTTTGGCATATCAAATATGTCACAGGGAGCTTGCCAGGCTTTGCTGTGCGGGCAAGATACTCTCAGTAGCTTGCCAGGCTCTCTGGGAGGGGTGGAGGAATTGAACTCGGGTTGTTCGTATTGGCCGCGTGCAAGGCAAATGTCCTACCACTGTGCTATCGCTCCAGCCCCTTTGTATAAATATCATTCATAAATGATACAGCAGTTTAGAACATCTTTAATGGGGTCAGTGCGATAGTTCTAAATGCCCAGTTTAACCTCTAGCACCGTGTGGTCCCTGAGCACCACCAGTTGTGCCCCCAAATAAGAATACAAAATGTACCAAGTGGTATATAGTGAAAACAAACATTTTCTTGGGGTGAGGAGCTTGTTTTAGCCTTCACATTAAAAAAAAAATTATTTTTACTAAGTATTACTTTCAAACATACCAACATTTTGTTATTTCTTCTGCTGACTCATATTTCATGCCCATTTTCCCTGATGTAAAGAAATGTCTTCCTGTAGGGGTCTTTTATTTCTTTGGGGTGGTCCCAGGGGTCTAACCCAGATCTGCATACAAGGACATGCTGTCCCTCTTGGCTGGAGTCTCGGTCCCTGCAGGGATTTAAGTCACTGATGAAACATCTGTGTGTTGTCCATACTTCATAGTGGGAACTTCTTTTAATCGGTCACTGGTGATTGGTACTTAAATCCATTCTACCGCTAGAGACCGCAAAATGATGATTTTCTGACATTGCTTGTACTGCTTTTTAAAATATTAATTTGGGTTTTCTGAAGAAGACAGAAAACAGACTGCTTCAAGCTTAAGAACCTGCCTTTAGTTCCTAGTTTTCGGAGGTTACTGCAGAGACAAAAAATAAAAACAAAAAAAAAAAACTAAGCTCATTCTGTCCACTCAGTAGCTGCGCCCTGGTGGGGCCAGGTGGTATCATACAATGAGCGTTTGCGATGTCATCCTTTGTTGCAGATGGAACCAAGAAACTTGGCAATTGTGTTTGGTCCCACTCTGGTTCGAACATCGGAAGATAACATGACCCACATGGTCACTCACATGCCTGACCAGTACAAGATCGTCGAGACACTGATCCAGCACGTAAGTTCCAGCTGCAGCGCAGCAAGGAGGTTCATCTGCCTCGACAGCTAATGACTTGTAGAATAGAATCAGGCTTTAAAATGTCTTTTTTTTTTTTTCAAAGAAAATGACCTTTTTTTTTTTCTTTTTCTTTTTCTTTTTCTGTACTATCCTCCAGAATACATAGAGGGGGAGTTACTTTTTTCCTTGTTTCACCTTTGTTTTTATTTTAAATTTTAGCATGACTGGTTTTTCACAGAAGAAGGGGCAGAAGAACCTCTTGTAAGTATTGGGGGTCGGCATTCCTTGTGGTTTTCTTTGGGACCTGAAAACCTGGTGCTGCAGTAATGCCAATCTCCTGCTTTGCACGCTCTCGGCACCCTGGAAGCAGGGCCAGAGCAGCTCCATTTCTGAGCTAATGGAAATACATGAGTATGCTGCCTATTTTGTAGTCAGCTATGCCAACATTGTAAAGCAGAAAATGAAGGACATGCGCTCGGCTCAGTACTGTGTCTGTTACTAAATGTTGTTTGAATTTTGAAGAAAGTATCTGTGAAGAGATGATGAAGAGATCTTTGTTTATTAACCATAGACAGCAGTGCAGGAGGAAAGCACGGTAGACTCGCAGCCAGTGCCAAACATAGATCATTTACTCACCAACATTGGAAGGACAGGAGTCTCCCCTGGAGATGTGTCAGGTAACGCTTTCCCGGACAGCCTCACCACCAGGCTAACTGCTATTTCCTAAAATGTGGAAGAGCCAATCAGTTCAATCCTAAGTAACAATTCACTGTGATTATTTTCCTTTCCTTCCCCCTATCCCCCTTTCTACTAATAAAGAACAAAACCAAATCTTTCTTTTCTGATTGATCTTAATTATCTTCCAGTGACTGTAATGCCATTGGCAGTGCATGGAGTCGTAATGCTTGTCAGAACGGACATAAGAGGGAAATGAGCATGCATACCACCGTTTTGTTCTTTTTCTTTTCTTCCCCCTCCCCCCTCTTTTTTTTTTTGACTCACAGTTTTCATGTAATATAGTCATCACAAGGTAAAACAGATCTATGCTGCTGAGTATGTGGTTGCTGTGATGGCAGAAAGAATGTTCTAGACTGTATGAGTCACGCTCATTCAGAGCCAAGGGCTCTGTCGCCAAGCCTCAGAGTTGGGTGTGCTGAAGCATTCGTGTGCCCCCTTTTCTTCAATGCAGTATATTCTTCGTCACTCTAGCTGTCACAGTAAAAGGCATTCGATTTGATGTTTTTTTCTCTTCCTTAGCCACCCTAACGTTCGGTGAAGTGTTGGGTTTCAAAAGCGCGCTCGACGCCAGTCTCCTCCGGCCGAATAGTTGCACTAACGTAGCATGTTGTTGCACACGATGCTCTCCCTTTGTCTCGAGTTCCTGTTTTAGACTTAAAGGGTTTGCTCCGCACTTAACTGATACTGGCCACTCTATACTGATGTTGAACAGGCGAAGTGGGCGGAGTCTATCACACGGTAATGTCGCTAGTGGATTCCGTGGTGTCCCTGATGGACAGCTGGAACTGTAGGAAGAAGGAGGACTGCTGTCCACACTGCAGCTGCCTTGTCTGCAGAAACCCCCGATTCCTGTAAATGCCAACCGAGTTGATCTGTGGTGTACATTTTTTTCTCGTAAGATTATTGTGAACAGATCAATACTACTTTCTTAAAAGTTTCTCTGCTGTTTCTTGTTATTTCTGAAGCAGACCGTGAGGAGAAATAGCATGGTATGGTCTACCAGTTCTTAAAGTCATACAGCATTTTAGCCATGTGTTGAAAGGGGCGTGGCACGGGGCTCAGCTCACTAATTTTGAAACTCAAAATTTCCCTGAAGTGGCAAGCTAAAATTTCAAAATTGGTACTACTCTGACCGGTGCTAGCCCCTTCCTACCCTCTTTTTAATTGTATAATCTGAGTTTTTTGCCAGACAGTAAAATTATGGTCTCCATTTTTTCATTTCCATAAAAGCTTTTGTTAATAGCTAATTGCCAAACTGGTAGCAATGCAACCAAACTAGCCAAAATGATCCCTGCCTGCCCAGATCATGAACCTGGGGTCTCAAGCGCAGTGATCAACACGATTTCTTCCAAAACCGAAGAGACCTGGAAGCGGGGTTATGCTAATGTCTCTTGCACATCCCTCCGCACTGTGTGTGCTGATAAAATTGACATTTGATGGTCTGACAAAAATCAATGAGGCTACACTTACAGTCTCAATTTGTAGAAAGGGCAGCCAATAATTTTTGTTTCAAAGTTCTACATTGTGTATCAGTTTCAGATACAGGATGTGGTACCTAGTACAAATCTTTACAAGGTCTTCAAGCTTTTCCATTGCTAGACTTCCTGTAGAAAATCTACTAAACACTAGTCTTTCTGTTTTGGTTAGCACAGGGCTCCTTTGCCATTCCTGTCATTGAGCTGGTTCTGCCTACAATTCACAGCATCTTTTCATGGCGGTGGCTTTCTGTGGTGCGGCTTGCATCTTTGTGAGCTCTGACTATCCACTGTGTTCTCTCGTTTTGTTTGAGTTTGCTTTCCCATTTTGTTCTGTGCCTGTCTTTTCCATAAGTTTTGCATTGTTTGTTGAACGCAGGCAAGACTCATTGATTCTGACCATATTCTGCTTCACTCCTCACAGATTCAGCTACTAGTGACTCAACAAAATCTAAGGTAAATCGTTTCAAACAATTTCCTAAAAAATTCTTATTGGGGAATTGCTTGGAGGGTGCTGAGTGTCACCAGGATACAAATGCGTCACAGGGCCACGGAGTCTAATAATGGGAGAGAATAGTAGAATCTGGTAGAAGATTGCTGGAGTCAGAATGTTCTGTTTCTGTCAGCGTAGCTTAGCACGATACAGACAAGTATGGGGAAACTTTCTGACCTGCTCCCACGTGGGGAGTGTTAGGAGTCTGTGTGCATATTCTGTCTTTAAGAGAAGCACGCGGCCGAGCTGCTCATCCATCCCTTCTCCTTGTATGGGAGTTCCCAAACACCTCGATACATCAAGAAGTATCACTGATCTTTTATCAATATTTGGCTTTTTTTTCCTTTGGGGGGCCACATCCAGCAGTGCTCAGGGCTTACTCCTGTCTCTGCACTCAGGGATCACTCCTAGTGGTATTTGGGAGCCATATGTGGTACCGGATGTTGAACCCGAGTCAGCCATGTGCAAGGCAAGCCCCTACCCACTATACTATCACTTCGGCCCCAGTATTTGATATAATTTTATAAAATGTGTACATAGATATATGTATAGAGATATGTGTCATATGTGACAAATATAACTTACATAACTTATGTTCTCTTGACCACCAAAGGAAGCATACAGTTTTGGGTAACAATTAGGAAGTTCTTTTATTGAGCTTGTCCAAAATTTAAGGCAGAAACAAGTAGAATTGTCAACAAATTTCTTAAACCATTACAGTGTTTGGTGGGCAGACATGAATTCCACATATATGAAAGAGGATAATTGGGTTGAATAGAATTATAATTATTTTCAACACATTGCGAAATATTTAAATCATTTATTCTTTACTGTCACTAGTACTGCAACTTTCAGTCTTTTTATTCCAACTTTTTATTTTGAAAAATTTCAAAACTACAGAAAAGCTACTGGAATGACAGTACAAATTTTTTCAATATTTAAAAAATATTTCATCCTTTGGCAAGTCTGGTGTACAATTTTTTAATAAGTTGAGGGTTACTTGTAGACATGTTAACACATTCTCTGCTTCATCATATACCTCTGGAGCGCAAGAACATTCTCTTCATTACAGTGTAATTATAGAAAATAAAGTAAGAACAATTCAGCATTACATATACAGAGTTTACACAGGGTTAGCCAATTGTCCCAGTGATGTTCTTTATTCGAATTTTTTTTTCTTTTACAGGATGCTATCGGGGTCACACCTTGCATTTAGTTGTCATGTCTCTGTAGAATTCATTAATCCAAAACAGTTTCCATCTTCTTTTGGCAGAAGATAAGATTTTTAGATCAGGCAGCCATGTTTGAAGCTCCCTCCTTCTCTCTACGAGATACATGTTTCTCAACTTTGTATAGCACCTTCCTCTTAATTATTGTGTTTTTACTTGCCTGTAATATGATGAATATCCAAATAACTCAATTAAAATAGAGTTTAAGTTAAATCAACAGTAAATTTTCTCAAACATGGTAGTCATTTACTCTAACATGTGTTGGCAGATTTCGCCTTGGGGAGGTCATGGGGGATTGGACCACACCTGATGGCACTCAGGACTGGGGCTCAGGGATCATTCCTGGTGCTGCTCAAGGGACCATGTGCAGGGGCCAGTGATGGAACTGGGACCACCTGTGTGCAAGTGCCTTACCTCTGTTCTAGCTCTCTGGCATCTGAATCAGAGCTTTTTTTTTTTTTTTCTTTCGGGTCACACCTGGCGATGCATAGGGTTTACTCCTGGCAGTGCTCAGAGGACCATATGGGATGCTGAGAATCGAATCTGGGTTGGCCGTGTGCTCCAGCCCTAAATTTTTTTACTTTTTAAAGTTTATTTTTTGAGGGTTCAGCATGACAGTGTTAGGATATTTAGAATTTTTATGGCAGCAGAGAAATAATGCTTCTTGCTCTTACACTTAGCATACTTCCTGCCTGCCTGCCTGCCTGCCTGTCTAACATGGCACCTGGTAAACCTCAAGTCAGTATTTACCCCTGCCCCCACCACTCCCTAAGCACTAAGCCCCATACTGAAGCAGTGTTCTTTCACACAGAAGCAACAAAAAGCTGCCATCACACTTCCCAGCACTTTTCTTTCACGGACATGACCTTGTTTGAATTGTTTGCTATTCAAATGTTGCCATTACCTTGCCAGAGAAATAGCAGAGTCTCGCATGCAGCCACCCCAAGTGTGACCCACCCCCGCACCTAATGGTAGCGGCCAGGAGGCCGGGAGCCCGCTGGGTGCCCTAGTCGCCCTGGCATTGCAGGGTCTCCCACTTCAAGTGGGAGAAGTGGGGCGCATTGGGAGGCGCCCGTGCCCACGTCCCCACTACCTCCTCAGCACTACTTGGTAAAGACATCAGCAGCCTGATTGAGGGAAGGCAAGCCCCATATTGAACGGAAGATCTGAGAGTACCTCTCCCAACATCTGTATCTGATGCGGAGGGAGGCAGGCCCACTGGTGATGGGTATGGTATTGGGATAAAAGATTTGAAGTCAGGAGCTGGAGCAATAGTACAGCAGGTAGGGGTGTTTTCCTTGCAAGTGACCCACCCGGGTTTGGTTCCCAGCATCCGATATGGTCTCCCAGCATCGCCAGGGGTAATCCCTGAGTGCAAAGCCAGGAGTAACCCCTGTGCATTGCTGTGTGTGACCAAAAAAGCAAAAAAAAAAAAAAAAAAAAAAATTGAAGTAAGCTTGGAAGCATAAAATACCAGCTAGCCTGAGTCACTGTATTGTGTTCAAAGACGTAGGAATGTTTTGAAGGGGATACTAGGGGAAGGGGACACCTGGTAGTGCTCAGGGCTGACTCCTAATTCTGTGCTCAGGGATCACTCCTGGTGGTACTCTGAAGACCATCTGTGGTGCCAGGAATCAAACCCAGGTGCGCAGCGTGGAAGGCAAGCACCTTACTCCACACTTAACGCCCCCTCCAGAGGGACCTCACACTTATGTGAGCAAGCGCAAGGCAGGAACAGGGAAAATCAGTGGAGACGGAAATTGAACCCGAGTCAGGAGAGGGGGGCCCTGAGCGCCAAACTGTGCCCTGACCCGGCCTGCAGCACCCCCGCCCAGTAGGAAGGAGACGGGCCCTTCGGACAGTGACTTGCCCGGGTGCCAGTTGGGGGTGGGCAAGAGGCCGTGTTCTAAGCCGCTCTCTCTGCTCGCTCCGCAGGGTTCCTGGGGCTCGGGGAAGGATCAGTATAGCCGGGAGCTGCTCGTGTCCTCCATCTTCGCAGCCGCCAGCCGCAAGAGGAAAAAGCCCAAAGAGAAAGCTCAGCCCAGCAGCTCCGAAGATGAACTGGACAATGTCTTTTACAAGAAGGAAAACCCGGAGCAGGGCCACGGCGACGTGAAGGAAGAGGCTAAGAAGGAGGGCGAGGCGGCCACTGGCAGGAAGGCGCGGCCCGCGGCCGGGCCCAAGGAGGGCGCCAAGGAGGAGAAGGGGTCCCGGCGCCCCGACGAGCCTGCCACCCCCGCGCGCCCCCAAACACAAGTCCCCCACCCTGAGCAGCCGCCTGGCCACCCTGAAGGATGGCTCGAGGGCCCGAGGGGCGCCCCGGCCCCCCGCCTGCGACGAGACGGGCTCGGACTCGGGCACCCTGCTCAGCACCTCCTCGCAGGCGTCGCTGGGCCGGTGCGTGCCGCGGAAGGCTGGCAGCAGCCCCGAGGGCGCGCAGCCTGGCAGCAGCGGCGGTGGCGGCGACTTCCTGGCGCAGGTGAGCACCATCACCTCCGACTACTCCACCACGTCGTCCACCGCCTACGCGGCCAGCCTCGACTCGAGTCGCCTGAGCCCCGAGGTGCAGTCGGTGGCCGAGAGCCGCGGCGACGAGGCGGACGACGAGCGCAGCGAGCTCATCAGCGAGGGCCGCGCCGTGGAGACGGACAGCGAGAGCGACTTCCCCGTGTTCTCCAGCGGCGGCGGCGGCGGCGGCGCGGCCCGCGGGGGCGTCCCCAAGGCCGGCCGCCGCGACTCGGAGGGCAGCGAGGTGAGCGGCACCGAGGGCAGCCTGACGCCCAGCCTCGAGGGCCGCCGGCAGCCCTTCAGCTCGCACAAGCTCATCGAGTGCGACACGCTGTCGCGCAAGAAATCGGCGCGCCTCAAGTCCGACGGCGGCGGCGTGCTGGGCGGCGAGCGCGAGGCGGCGGGGCTGGCGCGCGTGCTGGACGTGATGAAGAAGGGCCGCTCCACCGGCAGCCTGTCGCCCGCCCGCGCCGACGCCGAGCGGCCCGAGCCCACGTGGCGGACCAAGATCGCCGACCGCTTGAAACTCAGGCCCCGCGCACCCGCCGCCGACGACATGTTCGGCGGGATGGGTGGCCCGAAGGCGGGCGCCGAGCCGGCGCGCAGGAAGAACATCAAGCGGCGCCACACGCTCGGGGGCCACCGCGACGCGGCCGAGCTCAGCGTGCTGGGCTTATGGCGAGCGGCCGAGGCGGGCGGCGAGCGCGAGCCCGAGCTGTCGGCCGTCACCCGGCTCAAGCCCAAGTGCTCGGCGCAGGACCTGAGCATCGCCGACTGGCTGGCGCGCGAGCGGCTGCGCACCAGCGCGTCCGACCTCAGCCGCGCCGGCCCCGAGACGCCTCCGTCCCCCGCGGGCAGCCCCCCCAGCCCGCTGGAGCCCACTCCCCGGCCGCCCCCGCAGTCCCCCGAGCAGGTGAACGGAGAGAGCTTTCCCAGCGCCGGCCCCGCGGCCCCGGGCCCCCTTCACAAACTGTCGTCGGAAGCCCCAGGCAGCCCCGCCCGCTTCCACCCCTGTCTTTAACCCCCACCGGCGGGTCCGCGCGAGCACAGCAGAAGCTACTGTTACATGTCGCCGTAACTCTGTAAATATTTTCTTGTACCAGAATTGTTATTATGCAGCCTTCATTTGGGCTGGTTTCATCCTTTTGCACTGTGAAATAGGTTTACAGTGCATTCCTACAGCCAGAGGAACATATATAAATATATATATATAAATATATATTTAAAAATATATTGGATAGTTGTAAACAAATGAGCAAGGTATTTGTTGCAACTTACATAGCATATTCCCAGAATTCCTGACCATTACTAGCTGGCATTAGTGTGCAGGAACTCTGTCCATTGGGTTTCATCACTAACAAAAGTGCCTCATCATTGAAAACACATTTGGTTTTTTAGGGTGCCATATTGTTAAAATTAGATATCTTCCATGGAATGAATGAAGGCCTTTTATTGGTAACAAATTCCACACCAGTTTGCCAGTTTTAACACAGACAGATACAGAACTTCCATTCTTTGAGTCATTCCAAGTCAACCTCTGCGTTTTATATTCCAACTTTTAATACATTTTTGAGTTTTGTGTGACTTGAATTTTTAATCTTTCTGTAAAATACATAACTTAAATGACCGTATTATATGTGTATCTTTTCTTCAGATACCAGATTTGATAGAACTCTTGTAACATAGGTATGTAGATAGCAACTTGGCGGGACTGCTTCTTCCTCGAGAAGAATCTAATTCTGCATGAGGACATAATGAATCCAAACCTGTGTCTTGCCTCTGTGCATACCCAATTAAACACTGGAAATAAAATTGTTTGGGTGAACTTGGCATGGCCTGGAGCTTATTTGAAGATAGGTTTGCATGTTACCTTCTTAAAATCCTTGTTCCTGACCAACAGATTGCCTGCTCTACATATTCTCTCTCTCTGTCTCTGTCTCTGTCTCTGTCTCTGTCTCTGTCTCTGTCTCCCTCCCTCTCCCTCTCCTTCTCCATCTCAGTCTCTCTGCCACAGCAGGCAGAGAGCTACTGTCAACATCTTCATAGGGGTAATAGTTAACTCTCAGATAAAGTAACACGTGTTCACTCAGCTGAGTGAAAAGAACATAAATTTGAATGTCAAAGTACCTCTATCCTTCCTAGCTATGTAAAAGTGGACATGTGTTAGGGACCAGGAAGATGGCGCAGAGAGTAGAGGGTTGGAGTACAGGCTTGGCATGTGAGAGACTCAGCCTCCGTTTCAGATACCCTGAACACTATAGGCGCTCACAAAAATAAGGGTTCTCACAAACAATACTTTAAATCTTACAATGTTAAAAGACTTAGGGGACCTTAAAAACGTCCCGATGCAGTCACTCTCCCTGTCAAACTCAATTTTATAGGGATATTTCTATTGAAATATAAATTTTCTATAGGAATATTGTATTATTTCTCTTTTACAGTTCTTAAGAGAAAATTCACAGTACATCTGGGTAACTTCTGCATACATGACTTTATATTCAAAAACATGATTTCATGGGATTTGTAAATCGGTACCATCTAGAACAATAGGGAAGTGACTTACAAAAATATAAGTGATAAGTGAAATTGCCAGGTCTTTTTATGAGGATGCAGAGTCACCAGTGATCTACCAGGAATGGTTTTGCTGTTCATGGTTGGGATTTTCTAAATTGATGTATGATTCTTAGTAAAATTCCAAACGAGTATATGCTTTAGTTCGCCTGGCAGTTTCATTGCTAGAAAAACCTGTGTATTATTATTTCTCTTTTACAGTTCTTAAGAGAAAATTCACAGTACATCTGGGTAACTTCTGCGTTTATGAACCTGTGTACCCAAATCACCAAAAGACTACAGAGGCCTAGGGACACAGTGTGAGGGCTGTCACCCAGGGTTTCCGTTGTGGCAGCTTGTGATCAGTGGTTCCCAAAGCTGCAGAACCACCCCTGGAAGGTGCTCTCGGGCTCTCACAAGTGAGATCCTCCAAACAAAACCCAATACTTTTACATGTGGAAAAAGAAGCTTCAAGAGGCCCAGATAATTCCAGTTCCTTCATTTCTGTTTTCTTGTATCATGTTTACTTGATCGAATTTTTTCAAACTTTTCTGTTCTTTTGGTACTTCATCTGTCTTCGTTATTTCTGTTGTTGTTTTTGGGCCACACCAGTGGGACAGTAGTACTCAGGGCGTACTCCTTACTGCACTCAGGAGTCACTCCTGGTGGGGGTCCCAAAGACCATAAGGGATACCAGGGGTTGAAGCTGGAGCAGCTGCATGCAAGGTAAGTGCCCTATCTGTACTCTCGCGCGGGCCTGGCTCTAGTTTATGCTAACTTTAAGGTATTAACTTCATTGTATGATAACTTTTTGTTGAATCCAGTTTGTTTTTGTTTTTGTTTTTGTTTTTATCCAGTTTAAACTTAATGTGTAAACTTATTTAGAGTAAAAGAGTAAGCTTATGTGTAAACTTCTTTGTGAATTTTGAATGTGCATTTGAATTTTGAATGTGCACGTTTACAAATGTGCAAGAGAGTAAATTATTATTATGTCTGCCATTTTTTGGGGGGTCTCATCCAGTGGTGCTGGGGGCTACCCCTGCCTTGGTGTTTGGAAGTTGCCCCAGAGTACTTAGGTGCTCATGCAGGCCACCAAGCTATCTCTCTGGCCCAAGAATAAGCTTTATTTGTTTCTGAATTGGATTCAGTTTAAGGTGCTGATGGGCCATTTAGACAGTGGCATTTCTTTCTCTTCTGGTAGTCATTGCTGAGGGTTTTGTATATGAAATTCTAGAGACAGAAATGAAGATAACAAGAAGCTCGCCCTTGCCACTCCCTGTGGTGAGGTACAGAAAGCCAGCAGGGATGCTTTTGCAGTCTGTTCTGTGCCAGCAGCCAGCAGTGGGTGCTGGTTGTCATATAGGCATCTCAGCTGCTGTTTAGAAACTAAGTGAAGAGGAACAGATGTGGGGGGCTAGGGACGGGGGAAGGACATCTGCTCCATGGGCTTGCCAGTACCCCTGCTATGAAAGCTGAGAGGAGAGCAAGAAAGGGATCTTAGAGACAGGAGCTTAGCCGCTGGCAAGGAGAGGCTTGAAGTTTTCGGAGATGTGCTCCTGCCTTCCCATCTTAAAGCAGTTCTGGAGGAGGGATCAGATGTGAAGATAGGGATTCAGTCAGCAACCAGATGGGCTGTAGAGTTTCTGAGGAACGCCTTCACAGAACACCAGCAATGTCTGTAAACCTTTATGTTTGAGAAGATTCAAGATGACGGTTATGAAAATCTACCGACAGAACAAAGTAAAGTACCACAGTACCACATGTGCTACCTTCTGGGTTTTGCATAAATTAGCCAACATTAGGCTTTGGGCATGGATGTGTTTTCCCAGTTCGTGAAATTTCTTGCCTGCTCTCTATAAATTCAGATATTTCTTGGGATAATCTTGTTACTGTTACGTGACAGGGATGAATGGAGACGTTACTGGCGCCTGCTCGAGCAAATCGATGAACAATAGGGTGATAGTGATAGTGAATTGTGTAATAATGTTCACATTAGGTTTTTTTTTTAAATTGAAGTCATACTTGTTTATAACATTTAAGTTACAGGGAGGAACTTTTTGTGTTGGGGATCACTTGGCCCTGCTCAAGGGTTAATCTTGGCTCTGTGCTCAGGAATTACTCCTAGCAGTGCTCAGGGAACCATATGGGATGGCAGAGCTTGAACCCAGGTCAGCCTTATGCAAGGCAAGACCCCTGCCCTCTCTATCTCTACTATCTCTCCAACCCCTAACCCAGGTATTTAGAGATTTTCATCAGTTCCATCAAATCTCTTCTAATTTAAGCATTCTAATTACAGAACAGGTAAAAGTCGGGGGAAATAGTCCAAGGAAGTCTGTTTTGTGTTGTGAACACTTGGGATCCCCAGTGGTGGCTGGAGGCCAGGCAGTACTGGTCCTCAAACATGCCACACATCTCTCCGTTTCTTTGAGTGCTATCCTTTGCCCCACAGACTTGGATTTCTTATCTCCATTTGAGGATGAGAATCCTGATTCCAGCTGTTAAAAATAAAACAAGTTGACAACTGCAGAAGGTGACTCAGTGGTGATACCAACTCAGAGATCCCCTAGCACCTCTAAAGCTGCATGCTCCTGTATGCTCTCAACAAGTGCAGTCGCCCAGGGTCACAGCTCAGATCCTTCGTGGCTGTGGGGCTGGGAGAGTGGGATTTGGTTTGTGCCGGTTCTCATGAGTGCTCACAGCTATGCGGGGGGCCAGAGGTCAGGGGGCTGCCTCTGCCCCTTCCTGTTAGGCGCTCCCTGACCACTGGAAAAGCGTACCTGCACCAATGTCACCGAGATGCTTGCAGGGAGTCCCACTAGCCCAGAACTTCTTATCTGTTAGCCAATAGGCACAGAAGTCGAATCGGAAGTAAGAGGAGAGGCATGAGGTCCCATCTCTCAGGAGAGAGAACAACAAAGAAGAAAGAATATCCACGTGTAAATCCTCACCTCTGGGTCTGATACTTTTCCATCTATAGAGATACTTTATAGGTATAATGCATGCTCTTTTCAGTCTCACTCGCCTGTTCTTGCCTTCCAAACCCAAAAGATGGTGGCCTAGAAGCCCTACCTCAGGAGTGTTGGCCTTCTACAGAGGAGGGATCAGTAGTGGGCTCCACCCAAGCCCCTGACCCAGAACGCCGGCCCCCTAGTCACTGAGCTTTCAAATCCCGTATAAGGAATCCCTATCACTGCAATTCAGTGGATGACTATTTCTTCCTTGTTTTTATTTTTGGTCTTTGTCTGTTTCTGCTCTTGGATTTGTATCTACCTTACCAATGTAGGATTGCTATAATTTCCTGACAGGGCATGGTTACACAGTGATTAAAATCTGTCATTTTGGGGATAGAGACAGTAGTTTTATATGTTGTTATTTTCCAGAATTTTATTTTTACTCTGCAAATAGGACATGTGTGTTGTTGCTTTATGTAGTTGATATCAATGGTCTGATTTACTTAAATATTTAACATTTTCATTGATTTTTTTTTTTTGGCACACATCAGGACTTTCTTCTAGAGTTCATGGGAATTTACACAAGTCAGAATATTTGATTTATCATTTTATCCTGTCAAGTTTGTGCCAGAACAGAAGATGAACATTTAACAGGACTGGGGAGATAAACAGTGGGCCAAGTCCATGCTCCTGCTCAGGGACCAGGTCATGTTGGGGATCAAACCTGGTCCCCTGAACATAGAGTCAGGAGTAGCACTAAGTACCATAGATGTGACCCTAAAACAAGCTACCAAAATTAAACATTATGGTACACGTCAATAAATATAAACAGTTGATGATGTTCTCTGTTTCTAAAGGTTGCTTTTTGGAGAATAAGGAGGAGAGGAAGCAGCATTTGGATGTCCAATTTGCTGTGGCTTAGAATTCATTGTAAGATACCTAGTCACAGATGCCTCTGCAGCAGAATCACAGAAGAGACCTAATCGTTTTTTTAAGTTTATTTTTATAAAGTTGTTTACAATAATTGATTTACATTTAATATTTAAACACCAATCCCACCACCATTACACTTTCCCACCAGCATATTTCAGATGTTTTCATCCCAAACCCCTTACCCTGCCCTCAAAGCAGAACTGAAAGAAACCTTATCTGAAGAATCAGAGAACAGCTGTTAGATGGCAGAGCATTAAGGTGCTGGCTTTGCTTGCAACAGACTGGGGGTTGTCCTCTGCATACTACCTACAGTGAGAGGGAGGAATAAGCCCTGAGCACCACTGGGGGTGGCCCCAAGCCCAAAACAAAAACACAGGATAGAAATCTGTCAGTAAC